CCATTCTTATAATGCGTTTATTAACTGATCAATACATGTTGACCAATATATTAATAGCATATCAAGGTCAAGGTTACAGATGGTTAAAGTAGATTGTACTGCCCTGATAGATGCTTTTCAGATAGCAATTATTACCTCCCATGGTCACCATCTTCAGAGTCATTCCCAATAAGATTAAGACCTGATAAAAGTCTCGCATAATTCACAATCATCTTTACAGAAACTGATAAAATCTTTTACATATTGGTCCTATAATAATATTTTCCATAAAAGAATTTGGCAATTTACCAAAATCAGCTGTTAATGTTGATGTTTTTATATTTTGTCAATTAAACTATATATATAATATTAACCCCCAAAATGGCTGCCACTTTTGCCAAGGGAGGTAAATATGGTAAAAAGTCGGGAACTATGTACAATAATTTTTTTGTATGCTTCAAAAAGTAAAATAACTAACAATACTCTGATTGGAGCAGCTTGTATGGGTTTCTCATGGTGACGATAAAATAGTCACACAATATTTGGTATGTTGTTACCTTATATGGACTGCTACACTTTGATAGTATTAAAAAAAAAATACATGGGATAAGGTCACGGTCATTGTGCCTAAACAAAGATTTTATTACTTAAATATGAATGTTGATGTTATTAAAAAAATCCAAGGGTAAAGGTCAAGGTCATTAAGCCTAAAAATGGATTTTATCATTTCAGCGGTTAAAGATTTAGCAATGTTGTTTCAGCTATGTCAAAGAGAGGTCAGGCAGCGTGTATCAAAGTCACCGATATTATTTTATAACTGCATGATTTCGCATTTCCAAAAGAAAATGCTGTCTGTCTATCATATTATTTAGAAATAGAGTGTTATTTTTCTCTAAAGGTCATTAAAGCGTAAAGCTCTGATAAGGAAGTGTTATTTACCAATAGATAGTTCATTAGAAGACATAGTGTGTCTGAAATAATGTTGGTCAAAGCGAAATTTCTCCTGTCATTTTATCTTATATATTGAGTCTATAGGCATTTGTCTGTAACTGATGATGTAGTAATCATATAGGAATTGTAGTCGGCTACTTGCAGAGATAATTACTGGTTAGTTATCCGGTGGTATGACCAAAAGTGTGTTAAAAATGGTGTAAAAAAAACAAACAAACAAAAACAGTCTTAAATTATTTATTCTGTTGCAGTAGAGATATATAAAAATATCAGTCCATCAATTTATTTCATATATTCAAAGGTCAAGGTCACTGTAACCTTGACAATATAATCATAAGTTCTAACTGTTCTGTTATACAGAGAGTGCTGTTCCCCTCAGTAATGGCCAATGACAGACAGTTTATGTAAATGTTCAAATTTTCTGTTGTAAAGAGAAGTACCCAATGCTAATTTTATTGGTCAAAGGTGAAGGTTGCTCGTTGACTGGGACTTGAAATGGTTATTGCTGGAAATGTAGTATGCATAATTATGTCCATATATTCAAATGGGGGTGACCTTACTGTCTGTCTTATAGTAAGATGTTACTGGAAAAGCTTTCTAACTGAGTATTTTCCATTTGGCTTTATTGACCATTTCTTAATATTTCAGATTGACAGTTCCAGATGACCAAGTGAAGGCAGTTTACAGATTGTCCCAAGATCTTCGTATACATTCAGCAACAAGGGCGTGTGCGCAGTACTTGACCTCTTGTCTCGACCCTGACAATTGTCTAGGTATCCCATCATCCTCTGTTTTTCCAACAGAGTTAACCTTCCTTTTATATTTGACCTTTGAACCTCCTAGCTACAGGGTTTACAGGCAGTCACTGAAGGAGTCCCAGAAGCATTCTCATTGGTTGCAGTTTGGTCATGTGATGGTGTGGGATGATGAATATGCAAATCAGCTTAAAAATAGATAAAATGGGTAAGAAAAGGTCCAGTTGCTTTTTACAAGTCTTTCATATTTAAACAGATATAACTTTGAAAAATAGAAAAAAAACTAAAAAAGAAAAATTTTTCCACCACTTTGATTTGCGAGAAATTAGTTTTTGAAATGTATTTAAAAATATTTTATTTTGAATGAAGTCTGTCGATCACTTGTGCCCATGCTCATTGCTTTTTATATGAAATGACTTAATTGCAAACTCAGTTTGATTAGGTTTTTATAAATATACCAAGCACAAGTGCATTTTAGATTTGCATGTTCAAAGATTCAAGTTTTTATCCACGTTGCCCCCTTTTACGTGTGCTTAATTTTGGCTATGGTAAGTAGCTTTTCTATTTTATTGATTCCTTTGTTTTAGTACTTTAAAAAAACCTTTACAATTAGAATTAATCAATGAGAAAAAGATCATCGACGTCTGCTAACAAAACACCCTGGTAGAATAGGTTTGTAGTCGAGTTAACCCATTCCACGCTTAATATCTGAATTGGACTCGCCCATCTTTCAGTTTAGACCAAACCATTCATCAGTTTTAGGGGAAATTTCAAAAAATGTACGGACAGATCGAGAAAAAGTGTGGATATCATGATCAGAGGGAACAATGTGATTGGTCGCATGGGTAGAACCATTTGCTGCCTTTAGGTTAAGGGTTTAATATAGAAGAATATTTCAAATTCAATATTGGACTTTGTACTAACTGAATGTGTCTATAGCATTTCTATAGTAGCTCAATAGACTTAAATTTGACCTTTTTTTCCACTTTTTACGTAATTTAGAAATTAAGGGCATCGGTTCGGTCAAAGTAGCAAACCCCTGGTCGATGGTCACAGTTTTTGTTACGGTATTTAAAGGTAATGTTTGACAATGATTGGCTGATTTACTAAACGTAATAAATGTTGTTTGGTCAGTTCTATATATAGCATCATGATGCTTTTACAAAAAAAACACATCAGCATGTGTAGAGTGCATGATTCATACCATTCTTCTTAAAGGTAAGTGATTTATACAAATATGAATTGTGTCAAATATAATATTCAATACTAAGGTCTTTGAGTAAACTATTTTTTTAACCAAGCTCCTTCCATTTGACTAAAAGTTGTGTACATGTACATATACATGAAAAAAAAAAACTTGTGACATGAGGCTTTCAGTATTTTGCTGGACTTTTATGTTTTTCTTTTTCTATATTTGATACTTAATATTTGGATTTTTTTTAATCAACAAGCCAGTAAGAAATTTTAATTCAAAGCAAAATTTGCCCTTTATTGTATTTTCACAGTGCCATTTAGGCAAAAATTTGGCCCCATTCCTGTCCAAAAATTATAATTTTCCCCCAACTTTTGACAAAAAATCCACCTTTATCAGTAAAAAAGGATGAACATTTTTATGCAGTTAGTAATGCTATAACAATTTAACTTTTAATTGACAGTTTGGCCTGACTAAAAATATTTCTTGTTTTTCAACTTCAGAATTCAATATAATCGTCTCTATAACCGTCTCCTGCCCTAATTTCCTGAAAAGTGAAAAAAGCATTGTGCTAAATTAAACAACCCGGTACTTTAATTTCCTACATTGAATATATATCAGTATTTGTATAATTGTTAAATTTTGTTAATCATTAATGAAAACTTACAGTTGAAATGGAAGGACAGGTTAAGAAGTGTTCACAAGGTTTTTAAAGTGTTTATGTATAAACTTGAAAGAGAATATAATTTATGTATACAAACTTGTCTGAGTTCTCACAGCCAACGAATGCACCAACTTACACAGACTAAGTAGCTGTTTAAAATTGCTGTCATTTCTATTCAAATTGCATCGCTATTTACTGACATGCATTTATAAAACATATGGATATATATATATAAATTTACCTAAAGTTACAGTACTTGGGAATATTTGACTGTAAAATTTACAGCTTTTATAAATCACTATTATTTTGATACTTTGAAAACACCGTTTAAACCTTGTGATGCATTACATTCAATGTTGCATTAAAATTCAATTCAAAATTGTCAATTTAAAAGAACAAATGCCATTTTTATGTTGCCATAGCAACTGGGGATATTCGACGATGATTTCTTTATTTACAGATTATGCCCTCGTTTCGGGGATTTCACCTTCGCCAACAGGTTTTTATTTAAATATTGGAAGGAAACTTTGTGACTGCCTTTATTGTACTAATGAAGAAAATGTTTGTTTTATTTTTAAAATTTAAAAAAAAAAAAAAAAAAAAAAAAAAATCGAAATAAAGCCTGTTTCATATTTCTGTTTATTTCACCTGCCTTCCTGAAAAGGAAAGTAATTGTAATTTTACTGTCATTTTGTTTGAGTTGTATATTTGATTTGTTAAGTAACATGTGGTTCTTTTAAAAAAAAAAACGAAATTTTTCATCTGAGTTGATGAAAATATAATATGTGAAATAAAACTGCTGTGGACAGGAAATCGTAGATTTCTGTTTCATTGCTGACGATATTTACTTTTGTCAAATTGAAAAATATTCTGTATACATGTATTCTTGAAATTTATTCTTTTGTTCAACAAATGATAATTTATAAAACTTTTTCCAACATGTACATACTGTTTGAATAAATGTTTTGCTATTGTAAATATTGCTTTTTAATGTAATTAAGAGTACATGTACCGGGGTATGTATTATAATAATATATGATGCTTATTTAATGCATTTTGTTGAAATATTTGAATTACATGAGACACAACTGTTTAGAAAGATTGACTGTCAATGGTTCTGCATAAACCTATTGCTCTGTGGTTTTGTGTTATTTGAGAGTTTTGTCTGATTTTGAGCCATGGTTCAAGGTTTTTAAACTGACAAAACTTTACAAATATTACAAATTGTCTCATAATCCTTAATTGAACATTCTGAATTTATTTGTATAATGGACTTATCTGGCTCTAAATTTGGAAGAGTATTCAATATGAAAGGGATTTCATTATCAAAATGAAAAAAAAATGGAGCTACCAACAGTATAGAGCCAGGTTCGACTGCACTGTAAAGGCCCATAACCAGTCAGCCTCAGACTATAGTTGGCAATCCTTATATTAAAATAATTGGTTATTTCTTTATAATTTGTAAAACTTTTATATCAGTGATATTTGATAGAAACACATTCTCTTTTAAAGTAAACAATATCTTCATCTGTTAACATAGTGTAGTCAAAATGTTAAACTTGTGTGTTATTTGGAGTAATGATTTCTGTTTTCAGGAATCCGTATGTTTGTTGTTGACCCGGAGTTTCGGGAACAGGTGGATCAGTATATAGCATGTAATATAAGGGAGGTTACTAACAGTAAAAAGTTCTACGGGCTGAGCAGGATTTCCTTGGAGATAGTTGGTAAGATTTTTGTTTTGGACCATTTTATAATGTGAGCAATAAAATCACAAAAATCACAAAAATAGATGGTGAATTTTGTCAGTTTATTAATACTATAATAGGCATACACTGTTAATTTCACAAGATGACTTTCCAGCTTTAATCAATTAACTGCTGAATTTGTGTTACGGTTGGCCCTGCAAATAATTTGCAACAGTCTATTTCCTATTGAAGGGATTTCAAAATAAAATACAAAAATTGAGTCAGCCAGGCTGTATACTGGTAACAAAGGCAGGCTTTCAAGCGGGCCCTACTTTTCCTACTTTTCCCTACTTTTTTTGTTTGACCCCTACTTTTCCCTACTTTTTTCTTGAAATGCCCTACTATCCCTACTTTTTTTTAAAAAAAGCTCGATAATTGATAAAAAAATCCAGTATAAGTAGTAGATTGATTTTGATATAATCTTTATCTCAAATTTAATAAGAATCAGATGCTAGTTTAATTGTAGAAAAAAGTTGATGGAAGTAGGTCATCAGTGGTGCAAGAGGGGTTCCATGATGAGGTTGGTTGTAGCTGACATGGAAGAATCAGCATCTTTAGGTGAGTTTGCTTCTATAGAAATATTACTTAATGGTCAATTATTTTTTATGTTTCATTTCAAAATTATAATATGTTTTGTACACAGACTAGCTTCTCAATTGTTTCCCAATGATACTGAGGGACAATACTTGCCAACATCTTTGAGCATATATAGATTTTGTCAATGTTTGGCATATAGGCAAGTTGCTCACTGTGATCATTTTGTCCTGAATTTTCATTGAATGAAAGATACTGGGAAAAATGTTAGGAAGTGTTTTCTGAAAAATACATATGCTTTCATTAGATAGAATTTGAATAGCTTTTAATATGGTGGGGGACTATAGAATTTTTATAACAGAATAATTTAAGAATAACTAACTGTGTGTTTAGGCTTTCAGTATGCCAATTATTTAGTAATTGTAATCATTAAAGTTGTGTGAGAGAATTGTTGTTGCACTCCAAAGTTTACTTAACAGGTTTTTTTGGCTCTCTATCTTTAAATATATAATATGGGCAATAAATACTCATCTCTACCTTGGAATTATCTGAGACCTACTTACATTTCTCGCAAGTGTCATTAAGTTTCTTTTTAAATTCCATTTTACCGTCACTATTTATTATTTCAGGCCCATTAATGTATAAAACTTTCAATGCCACAATGAACAACACAAAATTTAACAATGCATGGTTTAATGCAAAAGATGAAAAAATGGACATGAACCCATTTCTGGGTGTAAAAAAAGACTTCTAACTCTGAATACAGTGGCTAAATTAAATACATTATGAACTGTAAACCTTGCTTTGATTTGTGTCAGTTTTGCATGTACTAAATTTGCATACTAAGTGCTTGTGTATATAATCTTAAAATTTACTTTTGATTGTTACATAAGTATCTATTTTGCATGCCTAGGTAAACTCCATGCACAACTAGGAATGCTAGTAAATTTTTGCTTTTTTTTTACATTTACTCCTTTTCATTTTCTAGTGTGTTATAAATGCTAGTTAAAAAATCATGTTTTAACACCTATCCTTGTTCTAGTCTGTGTTTCATATATTATGCTATCTAAAACTATGTTTTTTGCACATAACATTTTTTAGCTTGACTATTCGAAGAATATGAAGAGCTATTGTAGTCACGTCGGCGTCCAGCGTCCGCGTCGGCGTCTGCGTTGGTTAAAGTTTTTTGTAAAGTCAAATATCTCAATTATTACTTGAGATATTCAATTGAAACTTACAATACTTATTTATAGTAACAAAGCTACATCAGATTGACAAGTTGGATAACTCTGCCTACAATATTTGACAGAATTATGCCCCTTTTTTGACTTAGAAATTTTGGTTAAAAGTTTTTTTGTAAAGTCAAATATCTCAATTATTACTTGAGATATTCAATGAAACTTACAATACTTATTTATAGTAACAAAGCTACATCATATTGACAAGTTGAATAACTCTGCCTACAATATTGACAGAATTATGCCCCTTTTTAACTTAGAAATTTTGGTTAAAGTTTTTGTAAAGTCAAATATCTCAATTATTACTTGAGATATTCAATTGAAACTTACAATACTTATTTTAATAGTAACAAGCTACATCATATTGACAAGTTGAATAACTCTGCCTACAATATTGACAGAAATTATGCCCTTTTTTAACTTAGAAATTTTGGTTAAAGCTTTTTTTGTAAAGTCAAATATCTCAATTATTGCTTGAGATATTCAATTGAAATTTAAAATACTTTTTTATAGTAACAATGTACATCAGTTTGCAAATTGCATAACTCTGGCTGCAATATTTGCAGAATTATTTGCCCCTTTGAAACTTAGAAATTTTGGTTAAAGGTTAAAGGTCTTCAAATATATTCTACTTGAAACTTTACACATGCACTTAGGGTCATAATTGGAGGGTCATAATTGTATGTCACTGACCAAGTTCCATAACTCTATCTTTCATTAAGGCTGATTCATATCCCCTTTTCTACTTAGTCTCTTGGTTAATGTTTACATGCAAGTTTTTACATATCTCAATAACTATTAAAGATATTTATTAAAACTTCACATTAAGGGTCATAATTGTAGGTCACTGACAAAGATCCATAATTCTATCTTGCATTGAGGCTGATTTTTCTCGACCCCTTTTTTCAACTTAGAAATTCATGGTAAAGTTTTTGCATTGTCAGCTGTTTTATCTCAATAACTACAGAAGGGTTTGGTGCCTTTTTTGGGACAATTTTATGCATTCATAATAATAAAGCAGTTATTTACTTGATAAAACATCTTAATAACAAGCCTTTGTACCTTTCTGTCAATTTATGTATTCATAGGTAATTAGTATTATTATACTCAATAAAACACCCTCGTGACATTACCTTCCGAATAGTCAAGCCAATACTGTATAATTAGACTCTCTCTAAGGCCTATAACATGAATTTTATAACAAAAAAAAATTAGCCCTTTTGTGAACTTAGAAAATTTAACATAATCAAGGCTCTTTTACTATCAAGCACTTAGAATAGTCGAGCGTGCTGTCCTACCGACAGCTCTTGTTCTTGTTTGTATTTTGTAACAACCATGCTAATCTTAAACAAGGTTTTACCACATTTCCTGTTTCTAGTCTGTGTACAAAAAACATGCTTACTTAATGTTTAATGTTGCTAATAGTCTGTGTTCTGACATGTTCATTGTTTATAGTTTTCTTTTATTATTTGGAATTTGATCTAAAATATAAAAAAATACCAATTCCAGGTTCATGTCCAGATTCATCCCTGTTGTGGAATCCCTATTGAGACACTGGTGACTGGTTTCCTAAATGAAGAAAATGCCATGGATTTTTTAGTTGATAAGGGTCTGTATTTGTTTTTGCATCAAACTTTGGAAAAATGGTGAGTAGAGTCCTACTTTCCCTACTTTTAGGCTCTGAAGATCCCTACTTTTCCCTACTTTTTTACAAAAAATTTCCTACTTTTATCCCTACTTTTTTATTATTGGCCACTTGAAAGCCTGCAAAGGATTTGGAAGAGTCTATCCAATATTTCTGTTCAAGCAAATCCAAGTTTTATGTGGTGAGGGAAGATGTAATGTGCCCCCTTCAGTACTGTACTTCTGACGCGCCCTGGCATAGAGGTAGAAACAGAGAGCTATAAAAGCTAGTTTCATCTTGTGGAAAATAATACAATTACCCATTTAATTTACATTTATTACAATTATCTGGGATAATTAAAAAGGCCGGTGCAACCAGTTTAAAATCAGGCCAGTCTTGCGTATTCATGCAAACTTGCCCAACGTCAAACAATATGGTTGCTAAGTATGACAATAAGTAACACCTAAAATGTTCATTGGACTATTCCAAATTTAAAGAAGGTCAAGTCCATGTTAAATCTTTAGTGGTGTATAGGTTAAAGATTTGCTGACATAATGAATCAATGATACATTGTCATAACAAAGTGAGTCATACATTATATACATGTATTCTATATGATTGTTATGAATTCACCACATCTGGTGCATATAGGGATATTTAAAAATTGGGAAAAAAAAGAGTTATGTAAAATAATAGATTTGAATACATTTCTTCTGTGGTGATACATATAAATACCCCTGAAATCACTGAAAATGGACTCGTCCGTCTGCTTGAACAGTTCATTTGTAATTTTGGAGTGTTCAATATAAAATTTGAGGGCAATGGTATAGTTCTGATTGGAAATGCAGGCTGTTATGGCTAGCCACTTTTCTCTATCTTAGGAAAGAAATCAAATAATTGATTAAAATCATACTGGAAAGGGAGGTAATCATTATTATACAGAGATGTTTTTTGTAAAGGGGGATTAAGTCAGTAACATTATAAATCATCATAATTATAAATTTTTTATAGGCTATGACATAAAAATAAAATATCAATTGAGGAATCGTTTTAGCTATTGTATAATGTGACTAGTACTTGGCGCAATAAAATAGAATAGATATAATCCCATTCAACATTTATAAGTATGATAATATAGATCATAGGCAAGACAGTATTGAACAGTTGGGGGTCTGTACACTCAGGATACATACTCATACTTAACATTAAGCTTAGGATACATACTTATACTTAACAGTAGTATACATTTCCCAGTGTATGTTTTACTTTTGTGAAGCCATATATGTTTATTTTATATTCACAAAGTGACTGTGTAGCAATATCAGTATTTTCTGATATCAAATTTTGAACAAATTATATCTTTAAGGATATAATAAATAAATTGAGACTTCAGTTACTCCTGTATAGCTACAGGAGATTATTATAAACAGGGGTATGCACACTGCCTGAAAGGACAGATGGCGCCTCATTAAGAAAATACACACACCTTGACTTTTTAATTTAAAAATATCTATAACATTACAGCAACGGACAAGTCAAACTGACTGACAATTCTCATAGAAATATCTATTTCATTACAGCACCAGATGAGCACCAGGTGAACCGAGCCAGTAACGAGGAAATATTACCAAAGGTTCTGAGTTGGTTAAAGGAGAAATTTCCCTCATGTAAAAACAAAATAGAGCCTCTGACTGAAGATGTAAGTAATCTTATATATGATACATCAATTTGTTAATGGGGATGTTCTCTATTTTATACATTTTTCAGGATATAGGTTCATATTGCACAATTGTTTTCAGTTCATAGCTGACTAAAAGTCAACTAGAGCAATAGATAAAACAAAGTCTTGATTAACCAAGGTGTTTATTGAAATAGAACTATTTCTCTAAAAAATAAAGGATAAAAAATGATCAGTGTTTTTTAAATTCAATTTGTGTGATAAAAAAATTATCAGTGTTTTAAATTCAAATTTTGTCTATGTGAGAACTGCCCAAACAAAATATGAAGGATAATAAAAAAATCAGTGCTTTTAAATTCAAATACTTGTGAGATCTGCTTAAAATTTTTTTTTTCTAGAAAATGCTCCTAAGCACATATGGAGTGTGTATTCCTTTAAAGTGAGAGATACATGCTAAAAATGGTAAAAAATTAATTAAATGGGCATTGGACATTCTTAGCATATTTGCCTATCAAATGCTGTATTTGTGTAAGTAATCAAAACATTTAATGTTTAAGCTGGGCATTAAGGGAAATAGATGAAGGGTGTGACTTTTGTTTGTTTTATTTATCTGCAATATGATAAAGTAAATTTATGTAGAACAATACAATAAAAGTGCAATATAAAATAGAAAATTTATTTAGAACAATATATTAAAAGTGCAATATGAAATAGTAAATTTATGTAATATAATAAAAGTGCAATATTGAAAAATATTATGTAGAACAATACAATAAAAGTGCAATGTGACAAAGTAAATTAACGTAGAACAATATATAAAAGTGCAATATGATAAAGTAAATTCATGCAGAATGATTTTATTAAAAGTAATTTTATGCAAATACAAAAAAGATGTTGGTTGTCTCCCAGTTATTATGAGCATACTTCCACACATTCCATGACAGATTTAGAAACATGGAATAGCGTAGAAGTGTGGACATAACTAAACCGGATTTCTCTTCGATGTAACGTCCCTCGATAATGTTGCATGTTATCATCTAAGAGAGCACACATGCAGACATTCCATTGGTTAGATATCAAATGGAAAGCATGCAAGTGTGTTCCCCAAGATGAATGAAATCCTTCGATCCTCAGCATATCCTGAAAATATAAGTCATGTTTAAACAATACTGAAGTTATTAAATCCATGTGAAAGATGTGTTCCAAATATTTCGAGCATACTTCAACACATTCCATGACCAAGGATAAAACATGGAATAGCGTAGAAGTGTGGACGAAACATTTAGTTTCTTGTGTATGTTACTTCTTTTGATGTAAAATCCAACTGGATGCTGATGAACAGTGTTATCCCAGGGAGCATACTTGCAAACATTCCATTTCTGATATCCAATGGAAAGCATGCAAGTGTGGACCCTAAGACAACTTCTCCTCTTAATCCATAAAATTTCCTTCCTATTTTAATAAGTCATTAAAATTCTTATTCCATTTTGTGTGTAATTCCTAATGTTCCAAATGTAGGTTGCTAGATGTTTGTGAGGAAATCAGATTTTTGTTCTCTTTTTATCCATTTCAGACTCAGAATCTTTACTTCTGCTACATTTACTAATTAGCCAATCAGATTGAAATATTTCTATAACACAGCTCTGTCACATCCAATGAAAATAGAGTATTTTTCAAATTCCAATTTCACTCAGCCAATGAGATTAAAGGTTTCATCCCATTTATGCAAATATACTAGGGGTCATATTGACAAGTTGCATATTGGGAAACAGGATGTTTATTTTTATGACACCTCGTTAATTAGCCCCTGGTTGGGGACACAAGATTAGAGGGAGGGTGTGGAAAGTGGATTATACAGGGGGGTATTTGCAGGATCTGTGTGACACATTAGGGGACCCTTTTCTGGATTAGGTCTAACACTGTAGGTGGCCAATTTGCAAGTTTATGGGGGTTTTATTGAGGAAGTATGTCCTCTATTAGAAAAACATTATTATTATTATTATTACTTAAAGTTGAAAGAAGGTATCTAAAAATAAAAGGAAAATTGCCAAAAAAAAAAAAAAAAATGATAATATATAACAAATATAAATTTATTTGAATTAATAATAATTAATTTATCCCAAATATCAATATTTTAATTTTTTTGTTTTCATATAAAGTGTTTGATTGTTCAATATTGAATTAAGCTTTATTTTAGATGTATTATGTATATTAAATCAGTATTTAATAGTTTTATTCATATAAATGTTTTTTGTTATTTAATATTGAACTAAGTTTTATTTTAATTGTATATGAAGATTTAAAGGCTACAATATAATGATAATTATTAATAATTATAAAACTAAAAGATGTCTGAAAACAAAAATGTATGAAAATAATAAAAATGTTCCTGTTGAAATTTAAAAAGTACCAAAACAAAATAATAAAACAAATTGTTAAAAGGGTACAGAATAGAAAATATAGGAAGATAAAAAGAATTGAACCTGTTGAAGTTTTATAATTATACAGTTTAATTATTCTTATTACATTTTTATTCAAGAATTACCAAAACAGTTAAATGAATTATAATAATTTGCATGAATGTATATTTAAATGTTTATTTCTTTTATAATTTCACAAGTCTGAATACTTTGTTTAAATAAAAAAAATTAGAACTTAGAAGAAGAAAAAAATCAGATTTTGAAATAAAATATTACATGATTATGAAATAACAAACTTTTAATTTATATGCACCTTATTAAAAGGAGTGTAAGAAAATTATTATTATTTTTTTTTTTTTTGGTGATAATTTATTTTCATGTCACCATTTGGTGGAAATGATAATTGGGCAGGTTGAATTCCTGAAGCAAAAGCCTTTTAGCTTATCAGTATAAAAGAATGAGAATAAGTTACCTAGAGAAAGTGTTAACTTGATTCAAATCTAAAAGGAAAAAAAAAAGTAATGCATGCACATATGACCATGTGTTTTCTTTGTCCTTAGTAAGCTGTTGTACACATCTACATTAAAATATTTTTATCACAATCTGATATCTTGATCATGGACTCCCCTACCCTCCAAAAGTTTTACATCATTCAGATTCAATTTCCTGCTCAGCATCTGTACAGCATTTGTTGAATATTTGACTACCATATGTGGCCAATTTACTTACATACCTACATGTGCTTTCTGTTGAGTGTTAGGACAAATGCCCCGACTCTTGAGCTCAAAATTTGTATCTTTTTAATTTCATGGAGATCAGTTCTTCAAAATTAACCCTTTTACAAGGCTGTGTTTTTGTATTGATATCTATACAAAAAGGCCATATAATATGACAATTAAATAAAATAAAAATGAATAAATGAAATAAATAAAAATTTTAATTTCTTAAGTGTATGGGAAATATTCAAATAAAAATGTGAATTCAATTTTAATAAGTATATATTCTTTAAAATACTAAGTAAATGTGCCAGGGAAAAAAAGAAAGAGAAAAGTTGTAAAATAAATAAATCTCAAAATTTATATTAAAAATAAAACAAAATGTTTACAAGGTTATTTTGGTGGGATTTTATGTAACATAACAATGTGTATAGGCATTTTTGAGCTTAATTGGTGAAGGATCTCATGTACCCCAACCACTGACTACTGAAATATTTACTGTTTATTATATTTGAATCAATAATTACATAAATGATATAAGTAATAATGTTTGAAGATTTATGCAGTATAATTCTTGTGGGACATATGTATCTCCTAGTTATCAAGTGGTTGTAAGTAAGTAATGTAAACATCATTAAGGGATCAGCAAATAGTGTCAAAATTATAAGTACAGTACTTAAGTATACTCTATTACTTTCTTACAATATGGTGTTAAACTTAATCAAATATATTTTAGCAGAAACCAGGCCTTATAATGGTTAAGAATATGGTTTTAATTATATAAAGGAAATTATAGCCAGCTTATTGTTAAGAAAGGTGTTATTTGTAATCATCACAAAATTTTGTTTAAAAAAAATGTTTATTTTTGAAATATATTGCAGATGTAATTTTAAAATGACGATTAAAAAAAAAACTTCAGTAAAAATATATATTAAAAAAAAGGGAATAAGTAAAAAAATGAAATGTATATTGAAAAAGGCCCAAATTAAAATAATGAAATAAATGAGACTTTAGAAAAAGTAAAACAAAATAATTAAAAAAAGTTATAAGAAAAATCCACATAGTCTGATTTAAAAAAGAAGAAAGTATAAATTATATAAGGTGTTGCATATTTTGATATGGTGATTCAGTCTCCACATTTTCTTATAAATCACCTGACCGTCTTTTAATGGAGACTTTTGTTTGGGTACATAGCATATCCCAAGTTATATAATTATAATCCAAGGTGATATTTTTCCTACTTTGATTTTAAAGAAAACAAACATTGCCCCATGGACAAATGCTGCCTGGACATGAAAAAATGGAGTGTAGGACAAAAGCCCTCCCGTCAGAAAGTGAAATGGCGGACAAAAGCCCTCCTGTTAAAATGACAAGGCGGACAAAAGCCCTCCCGTGAAAATGACAGGGCGGACAAAAGCCCTCCCTTAAAAATGACAGGGCAGACAAAAGCCCTCCCATGAAAATAATAGGGCGGACAAAAGCGCTCCCGCAGCAAATACATATAATATGTACGTTGAATAGTTTATATTTTCTTTTCAATGCACTCAACATATTAAAATTGTAATCATGAATATTTTTGTTTTCCATTGGCATTTACTGTGTTTGTATGAGCTTGAGCACATTCCTGAGAGGCATCTGAATAATTAGTGCTAAAGTCTGTAGGGTGCATATTTATTTCACGTAGATTTATGAAGGTTTACTCCTATGTGAAGTTAAGATTAATAGAGTAAAAATGATGAAAAGAAGTTAAAGTTATCTAACTTTAAAGTTAAAGACATTAATAATGTGCCTTGTAATGAATCAATTACTTTTCAAAGTGACTTTGATTTTAACGACAGTCGTGTAAAAAGTTACCTCATTAAACATTTCAGGAAGGTATGTTTAGAGTAAAAGGTGGTTCTAGCTCATACACATACTTAGGCCAATTGAAAATAACAATAAATATATGTAACAATTTTAATATGTTGAGTGCATTGAAAAAAACACAGGTATTCAACATACATATTTATTTTTGTTATGGGAGGGCTTTTGTCCGCCTTGTTAATTTCACGGGAGGGCTTTTGTCCGCCTTGTTAATTTCACGGGAGGGCTTTTGTCCGCCCAGTCATTTTCATGGGAGGGCTTTTGTCCGCCCTGTTATTTTCACGGGAGGGCTTTTGTCCGCCCTGTCATTTTCACGGGAGGGCTTTTGTCCGCCTTGTCATTTTTTGATGGGAGGGCTTTTGTCCGTTTCCGGAAAAAATGCCCCCCTTTTTTGGCTAATTTGGAAGTGCAGACATCCCCGAGAAATTTTTAAGTGCAGGCATTTGTCCCTCTTTGTTTTATCACATAAATGTGTAAATGTCTGCAGTGTGAACAAGCAGAAAAAAAGCATTTATGACATTTTAAATAATTTTTTGTTCTTATTTTTTTACTAACAGTTGATCGTACTATACTTGAATTCTGACAACACTCTCACAGACTGTGATGAGGTAGACGATGAGGTCATTCAGGACAATGAAGTGGTACAAGACTACAAGAAAATGACCAGACGTAAACAGGTAAGCCGCACAGGTCGCCTCGGGCAAGACAAAATTCCACAGTGACAATTGATCTCAGACTTTTGAGTCGGATAATCATTTGTCTTTCTTGGCTGGTGATTCAGGGATTATAATTATGATTCAGAGATTATATGAGCCACGTCATGACAAAACCAACATAGTGCGTTTGCGACTAGCATGGATCCAGACCAGCCTGCGCATCTGCACAGTCTGATCAGGATCCATGCTGTTGGCTATTAGTTTCTTTACTTGTAGTAGGGTTGGTAAGTGAACAGCATGGATCCTGGTTGCACAGGCTGGTCTGGATCCATGCTGGTCGCAAACCCATTATGTTGGTTTTGTCGTGACGCGGCACAATTATGGTATAAATAGTCGGTCACTCACAGAGTAATTGATAATTATTACGGGTTGGTTATCCAGGATAGCCTGTAAGGTGGTTCAACCTCAAAAATATACCAAAAATGTTTGGAATCAACCAAAAAAACAAACAAATATGTGACAGTAACTTTACATAAGAAAAAGACTTGTATAAATAAGGAATGTAATTGAATAAAGTGTTTTTTCTCTAAATTTGGAAGAAGCCCAGTATGGGCCTGAAAGCAGGTGCAGTGTTAACACTGAAATGGTTTTTTGTTTGGACTCCATATGCAATATGAATGTTATGGTTGATTTGATTAAAACATTATAATATTTTGTTGTATATATTTTTATATGGAAGACGGACAAAACCCCACCAGTTAAAACCCCACCACTCAAAATTTTATAGAGTGGACAAAACCCCACCACTAAATTTTATAGAGTGGACAAAACCCCACCACTAATTTTAAACAGAGTGGACAAAACCCACCACTGGACAAAACCCGACACTTACCAATTATTGGGCAGATTTTGAATGAATTAAAATATATATATAATATACACATTTTTTTCACATCTTATTTTTTAATTTCAATATTACATTTTTGTAATATAAGAATGAACAATTTTATTAACAATGCATGTACATCTTGCATGTGCAATATTCAAAAAAGGTGTTACAAACTGTACACACCTTGAATTATCCATTATTATTAGTTTCTTCAAATTCATTTCTTCAATTTATTTATACTACTACTATTAATCAAGAATATAGCACATTTTATCAATTAATGATTAAAAATAACACATTTTGTATAGCACATTTCTAGTTTATTCAGTTGAGTCTATTTCCTTCATTATACTTAGTTTAAGCAGATACCGTGGCCGATAGCCGGAAGAAACTCAGGTACAGTTTTCTCCTTATTGATGAGTTGTTCACACATTATTTTGAGTTTCTGATGATGCACAATTGTTTGTTATTTAACATGTTTACAAGAAAGTTTTGTCCACTCTATTAAACTGATGTGGTGGGGTTTTGTCCACTCTATAAAATTTAGTGGTGGGGTTTTGTCCACTCTATAAAATTTTGAGTGGTGGGGTTTTAACTGGTGGGGTTTTGCCCTACATTCTTTTTATATAAGTAAGTGTATTTAAATCCTCGAAATTTTCTGTATTTCAGAGTGGAAGGGTTGGTCAGAAAGAAGTAGCAAATGTATCACCCGAAGCTACCGGTACACCAAATTATATGAAGTTTAATATCGAGCCAAAGCACCCTGTGCACGAACAGGAATGGTCCATCGTTGCATCTTATAAAACTAAAGGTATTTTTATTTTATTAGCTCGGCTTTTTCAAAGGAAACCAATGGAGCTTTTGGTAATTAAGGTTTCAGGCACAAGCAGGCACCTGTGTAGAACCACCAATTAGCTTATACTAGCTGGGTAGCTCCCTCTCATTAAAGAATCCAAAGATCTTATTGGTGGGCTTGTTTACTTAACCTTTCCCTTATATAAGCGTGTTTCGACGGCTTTTTGCCCCCCCCCCCCTTTTTTGAGGCCTCAACAGTGAAAAAAATGTCCTATTTAGACCCAAACACTGTTTTTCGTTTGAGAAATGTTGTTAAAAAAAGTGACCATTTTTTCGGCGCCGTCCCCATCCAAATAATACATCAGGGGGTTGCCAGAAGGGGGATGTGCCCCCCTTCTGTTTGGGGGGTTTGAAGGGGGGGCGGAGTCCCCCTCATCGCCAAGAAAATTTTTGGACTTGTGAGAGGCTTAAAATGACCCAGGTTGATCATAAGGTAACGTGTAACCAACGCTGAAAAACCTTTGACTCTATCTCATTCCTTTGAGAAGTTGCAGCATTTTGAAGTAAATTTTGATGGAAAAAATCGAGGCAAAAAGTGATTTTTTGGCAATTTTGAGATGTCCCCTCGTTGCCATGGTAACAGGAAATTTAAGACTGAGCATGTCGTTACAAAGGCAATGGTCAGTCAACATTTGTGCCAAGTTTGATTAGTATTGAAAGCATTTTTCATAGTTTCATAGCAGTTTGAACTTGTAAGAGGAGGCTTTTCAGTGAAAATGGCCATTTTTCACAATATGCTCATGGGGGAAAGGGTTAAAGATCCTGTAACTCAAATTTTTTTATTGTTTTATATCATAAATCTGATGCTCAAATGAAGATTTATCAATATCGTAAGTTCAAAAAAGAATAAAAGATATCCCAAACGTAAAAATATTACCGAATTTGCATTTCATGTAAATAAAGGGAGGTAATTAGAAATCCATTTTCGATAAAGTCCAAGCCAAATTTTTCAGTAAGAAATGAATGCATATATTTTAATGACTACTTATAATGTGAATAAACATTTGCAGTACATATTCCTGGATGTTTGGAAATTGTTTTAGAAGAATAATTATATACATATATAAAATTAGTATTTTGTATCAGGTATATCTTAGGGGCCTCCGTGGCCGAGTGGTTAAGGTCGCTGACTTGAGATCACTGGTCCCTCACCGCTGTAGGTTCGATCCTCACTCGGGTCGAAATCTTTCATGTGAGGAAGCCATCCAGCTGGCTTACGGAAGGTCGGTGGTTCTACCCAGGTGCCCGCTCGTGCCTGAAAAAATGCCCGAAGGGGCACCTGGGGTCTTCCTCCACAAATAAAGCTGGAAAAAATCGACGAAAAAATCTCGGCGGGACGCTCTTGGATGGCCCGACTTGAGTGCACGGTCGCCTATATGGGCTTTCCGGCGGCGACCTTAAATAAACGCATTAAAAAAAAAAAAATCAGGTATATCAACAAACCACGGAAGAATTTTTATATGGATTTTGGCAAGTTTGAGATACATGATCCAATATTATATATACTTATATAGTAGATAATAAAATGTTCTAGATCAAAATAATATTATTCATCATATAAATGTTCATACTGAATCTCTCAGAACTTTATCAGTATTGTTTTCCTCAATAATATTTTAATAAGAATATCCAAATGAAACATTTCAATTGTTTTAATCAACATTTGAAATACTTAAAGCTACATTAAATAAATATGTAAAAATATTTTTGCCGTTGGCCTAAAAACCAAGCTTTCTACAGATTCATTAACCTTTTTAACAGTCTTGTTGTAAATCTCAACAAATTGTGTTCATAAATTAGGATTTTAAACGGAAAACCCCACGGTAACACTAAAGTTCGTATACGAATTTTAACATGCAAATGAAAATTATAATCAGCTTGTGTATGCGCTACGTCACAGTGTTATAGCTGCTATCCGGAACACAACAAATATGATATTTTCTTGTGCAAACACATTTTAACCGTTTAACTTCACGGTGCACTAGGCCTGAGGTTCAGTTAAAAGTAATCATCTCATAAAAAAAAGATTAAATTTGTATGAAAACATCCGTTACAATGCGGAAATATACCGTTAAATTAGGACTGCTACTTATACAGTCATGTTTGTTGATTTAATATTGATGTACGGATGATCTGAAGGCGGAGTTTCTCATGCAAAGAGATATTGTACTTCCGATTTCGCCACAATGAGGTTGTCCATTTTTTATGCTTATAAAACTCATTTTGGTTGTCTGGACACCAAAATAAGATCTGTAGTAGATATAAAACCCAATTTATTTATGAAATATCACTTTTTCTGTTTTTATGAAATTTATTAAATGTAACTTTAAGGAAACTGTCCTCATTGTAGACCAATCCACTTTAACTGGTCAGATTTTTACTTTCAAGTATCTAAGATTAATAATTTAAATTAATCAATACACAATGTATTTTGTTTTCAACCATACAGTTGTAATCAATTTTATTTTATCAATGTTCCTTTATAAAACAAAAACATTTGAAAATTCATGTTAAGTTACATCAACACTTCAATAGGTTATGCAAAAAAAAAATTATTTAGAAATTTAATTAACCAACCCGCCTCCCACCACATGGCTGAATATTTAGAAAAAAAAATTGATACAGACAACAGTAATTCCCGACAGTATTTTTTTCTTCGCTTTGATGACAATGGTGTTTCTATGTCTTATAAGCGAGTAAATCCGGTATGTTTACAAGTTGTTAAAAATCTTTTTTACAGATCGATCATACATGGCTATAGCGATGATGAATGGTAATCTGGTGACTATATCGGTACATTACCGGCCTGCCGTATCAACCGGCAGTGGAAATGAAGAACCCGGTTCTCCGGTGCACAACAGTAACAGCAGTAACAGTTTGTTTGATAAGTGGGTGATCTTTATAACTGTCGTTTCAATTTTTTTCTTTTCTTGTAAATTTTTCATTCATATTTTTCGATACTTTTATCTCATTATATTTTTGTAATTGGCCAGTCCTATTTTAGCCCCTTGTAGCTGAGGAGTTGCCTTTAAAGGTTAAGGCATAATAATTGCAGCCACAATTTATACCTGCGTGATCGTAAGATGTGCCTAACTGGGATCGAATAACTGAAGTTTATGCCTCTCTTAACTCCAGCAGATGAGGTGGTTTTGACCCCTAGTGTTGCATTGATGTTTGTAACACCTGAGGTTAGCTAAAATCATTTTTCCTGTTTTGGCGCCAAATGACCTATACTGTGTTGGTGTGTGGTAAAACCAAACAAACAAACAGTTTGGAACAGTTCATTATGAGCACAAGGGATTTCAGTATAAGAATGCTCCAACCTGACAGCACATAGCGTTGATATGTGCTGGACTGCGTTGATGACCCGGCTTACATAGTTATATATACTCTAAACAACTATCGTATTATCGAGGCATATCTGTTATCGATTCTGGTCAAACATTTTTCAAAATGTGCAGTCATGCAAATGTTAAAGTTAAATAAGTTTTATCCGGTTCAACAGAGAATGCTTTGTGTACAATTAATTTGTCACCTCCAGACAGAATATAATGTATATTTTGTTCTCGCCATTAACGTTCAATGAGGCCGTAGTGGAAACTTAACATACGGCGATATTACAACGCTCCGAAATACTAATCAAATTATTGTCACTCTAAGGTTTCTAAAGTAACACAATTCATTGATTCATGGACATAATAGGATAAGGGTTTGTATTATTGTTTGTTCGTAACTCAGATATTTCATAAGAACCAGGTTTGCCAGCTAAATTTAGTGTATTCATATCTTAGAGTTTTCCCATGTTTTCGCTTTTGATAAAAAGATGTTTCTAAAAAGATAACTGGTATATATGTCCTCTAAATGTTGTTTTTCATTTTACAGGGATGACGATCAGGAATCTTTGAAGGGTATGTCTACCAACAGATGTGCATTTGGTCTGAAAGCTCTCGATGGAAAACTGTTTGCTTGTGGTAAGCCTTTTTGTATTGGTTTGAACATATTTATTTAAGCTTGATTGCGAAACAAGTTCTTGTAACTTATATAAATCACTTTTGAGTCCGCTTCCTGGAACCAACCAGTACTGGTGTCATATGAAGAAACATAGTCGTGACCCGATTAGGGCTCAAACCCATGATCCCTGGGTTGAGAAGCAGACACCTTAACCACTAGGCTACCAGTTCCCTTAAAAGCATTTTTGAATTAATTTTAGACATTTCTCTGATCACTTCATGTCGAATTTATCTGTTGAATGACAGTATGAAATAAACGGATTACTATTTTTAGCACTGATTAGTTTTAAGAGATCATTTTTCTACTTCTAGGGGGATACGATAGAGGGGAATGCTTGAAGTCTTCTGAGGTGTACGACTTTGATACTAACATGTGGTCACTGCTAGGGGAAATGAAGTCTGCCCGAGGGCGATTCAGTATTGCTCTTTACGAGGGGAAGATCTATGCATGTGGCGGATCTAACGGGAACCATGATATGAAAACGGTAGAATGTTACGATCCGAGAGAAAACAAATGGACGGTCGTTGCTGAGTCACCAAGAGGGAAAGCCTCTCCAGGTATTCTGATTTAAAATCTTCAGAGGACCAGACATTACGGTTTACAAACTTATCAATTACAAGTTTTAAAAGTTGGGAGCCTCGGTATTTCATTACTGAAGTATTTAAAGTATGTAATTGTCAAGGGTTTCTGTTGTAATCACTGAACATGGCCCGAAAAAGTCACAAATCAGACATTCCAGGAAATCTGAAAATTTTACGGGGCCGGTTAATTCCAAAGGAACTTTGTGGCCAGCGGGATGAGAAGAAAAACACAGAGTTGTCTCATACTTGTGATGGGTATATCACGTTAAAGGCATGCCCCATGACAGTTTAGTTTCTCTGTTTCCATTAGATATATATGATTATTACAATACACATGTAAATGACATGTACATATGAAAAATATTTTACCTAGATTTATGATTATTTTATTTGAAAGTATAATTGATTCTAAAATTAGTCTTTTTGCATAATGATAACTTTCAATAATGGGGGCGTCTGTGGCCGAGTGGTTAAGGTCGTTGACTTCAAACCACTTGCCCCTCACTGCTGTGGGTCCAAAACTCTATAGAGACTGAATTCTTCATGTGAGGAAGCTATCCAGCTACCTTGCTGAACATCGGTGGTTCTACTCAGGTACCCTCTTGTGCCTGAAATAATGCATGGAAGGGCACCTGAGGTCTTCCTCTATCACTATAGCTAGAAAGTCGCCATATGACCTATACCGTGTCGATCTGACGTAAAACCCAATCAAACAGACTTTCAGTTTTCACTTCTGAATGAATTTACATGAAATTGAACGTAGTAAAGGTAAGTTATTTTTCATGAATAAGGGGTGGTGTCTGCATGGCCAAATGGCTATAGTTAGTTTGCTAACTTAGAATTACTTGTCCGTTAGTGCTGTTGTTTTGATTTAAACTTTGGGTAGAAAGGTATCAAGCTAGCTAATGGAAGGTTGGTGGTTCTACTCGTGTGCCTTAAATCCAGGGGTCACTGGTTCAATCCTTAGTTAAGGCGAAATTCCTCTGTGAAAATTTATTTGGACATTGAGTCTTAAAGTCATTTGTCTTTCACTGATGATTCAGAAATCATGTGGGATAAGTAGTTGGTCATTTACAGAGAAATTGATAGTTTCTGATCCATATTTATCCAGGAAAGCAGGCAAGATGCCTTGACAGCCGAGATATGACCCCCCCCCCCCCCCCCAAAAAAAATAAAAAAAAATTGTTTAATGGGGTTGTAAACTAGAAATACAATAACTTGAATTTATTGAATACCTTCTTTTGTCTACTGTACTGCATCAAGTGTCTTCTGAGATCTTCCTTCACCTTGGAAGCTATTTAGGAATTCTGGCTTGCTAAAATTTTTGTTTTATTGTAGTAAAATGTGATATTTTTTTCCACTCAGGTATCACTGTTCTTCAAGGGAAGTTGTATGTTCTTGGCGGCTGTATTGGTCAATCAACCGTGTCAGTCTGCGAGGTTCTTGACCTAGAAACAAAGGAGTGGAAGGCAATTTCTTCTATGAGAATACGTAAGTTTTTGTTTCTGATAAAAGAGAGAAAATGTTTTCAATATCAGAAGTAAAGTTAACTGAAATCCAAACTATTTGTTAGATAAGGAAATATGATAAATACCTGTGCCACTTTTGGGACTCCGTAAAAATGGTATTGCACGGCTGTGCATATATTTTGACGTGACGTCATTTGTGTTATACAAACATAGCGTTAGGACGCACTAAATGTTAGTGTTATACTATAGGCGCGCAAATGAAAAATGGTTCTTTTTCACTTCAAACGGTATTTATTTTTGGTATGTGATAAAAAGAATATTAAATTCATGTAAGTTCATAACCAAATTTATTGTACTCGTTGAATTAAGTAATATTATGCTTGCCAGAGGCTTGCATAATATAATTTTATTCAATAAGTTTAATAAATTCAGTATTAAACTTACACTCATTCAATATCCTCTATTTATTCATTCATTATTCCAATGAATTAGACCAAATTGAAATCAATTGTATCGTGGACTCTGAAATTCGATTCCGTTCAGAATAATTACTGCCTCACTCTAACTATTATAATTAAACATTAAGGTTTTGGTTTACAACTTTTGGCCATTGCTGCAAACGACACAAAAAACAAAACAAAAAGCTTTAGGCTGATATTTTTAGGTACACAAACAATTTCAAAAGGCACTGTTTAGCTTACTGTCATTTGTATCATTTTCAGCGAGATTCCAGGTTGCTGTGACTGTATTCAGAAACAAGATATATGCTGTCGGTGGCACAAACGGTTGGAAATGTCTGAATGAAGTGGAGGTATATGACCCGCAGACGAATGAGTGGTCTATAACGTCGCATCTGAACATTGCTAGACGAGGGGCTGGTGTTGACGTTCATAAAGGTATGCCTGCTTGTCATAGAATTTTGGTTTAAATATATTCTAGAATTGTTTTGGTGAGGCATAATGATAATATTCTATGTAGATATCATGATGTAATTTAAAACAAGCATTGTTTGTGGAACAATATCTGAATACTATGTAAGAAATAGTCTGTAAATATGACTTTGCCCTTTGTCAAGGGGCCTGTTTTACTAACGTAAGTTTTTGTAAGTATAATAGTAATTTTATGCTTAGGTTTAATCTTGTTTAAATCTTAATCCCAAGTTTGTTAGTAAAATGGTCATCAGGTTTATTATTAAAATTCCTGTTTTCTTGTCTAAGAGTTTACCTTGAAGTTTAAACCTGAATAAAAATATAATTGTTAGACATGAATGTAGTGGCTTCCGGAAATATACACTGGCTTGTTACAGTTGCCACTTGAAAAAAAGAAAAAATGGGTCGCCAGTAGAAATATACCTGGGCCTTTTATAGTTGTCACCGCCAATAAGCATAGGCGGTTAACTTGAAAATACTAAATAGATTTCTCTGAGGAAAGTAAAATGTACATGGTTCCAGAAGTAACAAATAGTTCTTTAACGTTTGTAGATGTAAGGTTCGTTTGAAGTCTCTTACATATTTTAGTGGGTTTAGATGCAGTTTCTAATGATCGAGCCACTGACTTTGTAGTGCCACTTCTTTAGCACTGCACCTGCCCTGAATATGTATGCAGCTCAAGACTTTTGCTAAGATCTTGAATATTTTCTCTTCTGTTTGATTAATCAGATGATGTTATTTTATTGTAATATTTTTCTGTTATATTTTACAGGGAAAATGTATGTTGTTGGTGGCAACGATGGTACATCAGCCTTGAATTCTACTGAAATATACGATCCCGAGACCCATACATGGACACTGGGACCAACGCTCGTCACCCATCGTGCAAATTGCGGAGTTGCTGTTCTTGGGGATAAGCTCTTCGCCACAGGAGGTTTCAATGGCAAAAAGTTCTTGAATTCAATGGAATTTCTCGATCTGCGTAAAAGCGAATATTGGCGTATGGACATGCCTGGTTGTGAGGAAAATGGAACAGATGGTATCCATAATCAAAACGGTACAAATGGTAGTTGTAGCGACGACGGTTCCCAAAATGGCGGCATGTTCATGGAAGCGGGCGACGTGAATAGCAACGTGACCGAAGCAGTGATCTCAGGAGAAAAGGGGAAGAAACATGGCTCGGAAGTTAACGGGGACTTGAACCAAGATACAATGTCCGATATTAAAACAAAATCATAGCCAAGGTTTTCAGATTTTCAGCTTATTGTACTTTCATGTTAATGTTCATTATCCATTTTTTTGTGATTCATAATCTGTGCACTCCTTAAGATTAGAAAAGGGGGTCACTCATAATTTTTTTTTTCATGTAAAGAATGCATTGATATGTGGAAATATTATTATCTATATGTATTACAGTATACATGAACCCTTATAATAACTGGGAATTTATTATAGGCTAAGGCTATGTTTCAATTTTCTCTGCATGCAATTTTTGATAAAATGATTGTATAAAATAAACATACGCTGTTCATATTGGAATGTCATTGAGCCATGTATTTCTACATACATCAGTTTTATGGTGTCACTAAGGTTGGGAAAAAAAAACTGTTTTCAAAACTTTTATGTTTTAATAATAGTCTTGCTTTTTTTAAGCTCACCTGAGCACACAGTGCTTAAAGGTGAGCTATTTGGATCACTCATTGTCCAATATCTGAGTTGAGTCTGAGTTTTCTGAGGTCACAGCTTTGATGTGATATTCATCAAACTGTGTCCAAATATATTTTTTAATGATATCTTGAACAAGTTTAAGCATGGGTAATTTCATGTAAAGAACTAGGTCAACTGGTGAGATCAATTGAAAACCTTGTAAACACTAAAGAGACCACATTTTGTATCATTTTCTATAAGAAACTAGCTAAGTATTGATATGTTAAGTTTAATAAGGTTGTATAAGGGATGTAGAATTAGATCATCAAGTCAGGCCCTAGGAAAAGCTTGTAACAACTAAAATACAGTAAACTCCCATTATAATGATACTCGGGGGGACCACCACATTTATATTGTTATAACCGAGAGGCAGCCAATTTGAAAACAAGAGTCTTGGACCGCAGCAACATCATCGTTATCAGTGGTTTATTGTTATAAACAATATTGTTGTAAGTGGAGTTTACTTTGTGTTTATATTGGCAACTTCTAGGGCAATGGGGGTCAGAATGTAGGTCATCAGGTCAAATAAAGAAAAACAGTGTTAAAACTATTGAGACTTCTAGAGTTAGAGCTATACTGATTTGAGTTTAAAACTTTGTCAGTGGTTTGTATTAACAGAAAATCTTGATTTTTTTTTTTGTCAATAGATATAGGTTACGGAAATTACAGATTTTCATTGAGGTGAGCGCTAAAAGGGCCATAATGACCCTCTTGTCATGATATATTAAATAGTTTTTGTGCTAATTAGGACTGTTTTAGGTCATCTATATTTGAAAGCTTGTATTAAATGTTTATTTTATATTGTAAATATTTTAGGGAAGGAAAACTGTATTTAATCGAATTCTTTCATTTTCCTAAATTATTATTACTCTATATTTATAGACAGTGCAAAATAATTGTAATATTTATTAGGATGTAGGCTTTGCAGAAGAATTTTATAAGAAAAAAATAAGATAAAGTTATTGTATTTTTTAACAAGCAAATTTGTCATTTTGTATTTTCACACTTTTTTGTGCTCAAAATCATTCGTTTATGGAATGTTAAATAAATCTTTGTATACATTCCCCACCATGGAAATTAAAGGGAGACTAATCAGGGATCTTAATTATACAGGGATATGACAGAGTTCTGTCCCTTGCTTTAGAAAAGATTAAATTATAGTTCTATAATTTATTATATACATGTATACATCAAATGGGCTTTCCAAGAAGAATTGTAAATATTCCTGTACACAATGCTATGATGAAATCATATTGTGAATTTGTTGTTAATTAATCACTGTACGATGTAGTTTACAAAGAAATTGTAAGTATATAATTTCATAGGGGTAATTCCTTAAAGTGGTTTTCCATGTTATAATATAGATACCATAAATTCAGAGCTTTTTGTGATTATTTGTAACCGTGTCCTCATCAAGTTTCAGTCTGTCCATCTGTCTGTCTGTCTGTCTCTGTATTGTAAGTTCATATTTAGGAACTAGTTTCATCACTAGTGTAGCTTTATAACACATTGTCAGAATAATAACGTTATATAACGAATACATTGTCAGAATGAACACGTTATAATGAATACATTGTCAGAATAAACACGTTATAATGAATACATTGTCAGAATGAAAACATCAGATTGAACGATGTATCAGAAAGAACATGTTATCAGAAAGAACATGTCAGAATGAACATGTTATAACGAATACATTGTCAGAATGAACACATCTGAATGAACATTTTGTCAGACTGAACATGTTATAACGAATGCATTGTCATAATGAACACATTATCAGAATAAACAAGTTATAACGAATACACTGTCAGAATGAACACATCAGAATGAACATGTTGTTAGATTGAGCACATTATAACAAATACATTATCAGAATGAACATGTTGTTAGATTGAGCACATTATAACGAATACATTGTCAGAATTGAACATGTTGTCAGGAATTGGATAAGTATGAAAAGTATAAATATGTTTATACTTGCAGTGGTTCTAAGCCATTAGCATATTTCATATCCCATTGATATTTTGTTTAAATATTTTTGCCATCTCCCAAACTTGGTGAATATGCAAGTTTTATATAAGGCATACAAAATAAACAAAGTGATTTGTACAGTTTGCATGCAGGAGAACGGTTTATGAAGTGCTCAGATTTGTTAAGAAATTATATGTATTTTTATTTGTAAATTGTAATAAATTGCATGAATTGTTAGTGCTACATCAGATAAGAATCTCTTTAAGCATCTTGCCAGGGTAAAATAGAGTTAGTTATACTGCAATTCTACTTTCAAATTTGAGTTATGTTGCAATTCTACTTTCAAATTTGTCATAAAATAATATATGTGCTATAACCTAGAATAATGTTTTTTACTTTGTCAATATCAAATATGGCAGATTGGCCAAGTGGTTTATGCGGCAGATTGTTCTCTAAGGTTAACTAGCCATGTTGGTTCAAACCCCATTTAGGGCAAGCTGTTGTTTCCTTCAGCAAGAAACTTGTCTGTCATTGCTTAGTTGTGTCTATAATCTTAAAGCTTCCTCCAAAATCTAAAATAAATTCAGTATAAACTATATACAATCAAAACTTTTACTTTTGTAAAAGGGGGGTTGGGTGGTACCACAATTACTTTTGTAAAAGGGGGGTTGGGTGGTACCACAATTACTTTTTTAAAAGGGGGGTTGGGTGGTACCACAATTACTTTTTTAAAAAGGGGGTTTGGTGGTACCACAATTACTTTTTTAAAAGGGGGGTTGGGTGGTACCACTATACTACAATTTTTTGTAATTTGATTGTTTGAATGGACTGCTCCGAATTCAATGTAGGGCAAAAACATTTGACAAATTAAATTCAGTTTGGTAAATGTGAATTTCAGCATTTCTGTGTCCACGCTGTTTCATTATACATTGTTTTTTTAGCATTTTACAAAAAAAAATAAAAAAATTTATATATCAAAAATCACATACCCTAACAATGGTCAATTTTTAGATTTGATATCAGGATTAGTTTATTCTACAAATTTAGCGTGGTAAGAAAAAAATGAAGATTTCACCTGAATTTTTGTAATGGAATTGCCCAGCTTCGAATTTGGCACAATCCATTTTGAAGTTTAAGGGATTTCAGTTTCAATATAGAAGGTGCATCATACAAATTGTCACCTTAGTGCAATAACTGATTTATTGCTATTTAATTTAGAAGGACTTACTACGTTATTGCACAAAGGTGACGAAATTATCCACCCATGGTTAGTTAGGTCAAGGAATGCCTGTTAAAGAACTTATATGAATAAGAATGTATATTTAAAAAAAATGCTTATTATTGTTATTTTACTTGTATAATGTATTTGTATCAAATGTGTTATAACTGGTTAAGGGTGTTTACTTTCGAAACCACTTGCCACTCACTTGTGTTGGTTCAAATCTTCTGGGAGACATTGGATTATTTCATGTGAGGAACCATTCCGGCAAGCTTATGGGACGTCGGTGGTTCTACTCAGGCGCTCGCTTGCGTCTGAAATATTGCACCTGGTGTATTTCTACATCACATAAAGCTAGAAAGTCACACTATGATCTTTTTGCTGTTGACATGACTTACAACCTGAAAATGAACTTTAAATTAATAATGAATGCCAAAATTTAATGTTTGTAGTGTGTTTTTGTTGGGGGGGGGGGGAGGGGTTGTTTGGGTCATTTGATAGGACTTGATAAAGTAAAGTTGATAACAAATGTATTGTTGAAAATAAAGCATATTGTTTATTATTGATTATCAATTTCAGGGAAAACTTGATTTTTGATAGTTTTTAAAAGCCTACACTGAAAATTTAAAACTTTTGTCGTTTTTTGTCATTGAAATGTACTGTGGAAAGTTTGGGGTATGTACAGTTTTCAGGAAATTTTTTACACATTTTTATTTTTGCATTTTTCTGGAATTAAAAAAAAACCCGGGGTTTGTTTTTTTAGCTCACCTAAACACAAAGAGATGAGAGGTTGGCATTTGTGAAACATTACCTTGTGGTTCTCTACAAAAGTTATTTAAGTCACGTCCCTGGGGTATAGATTGGCCCTGCCCTTGGGCTTACTTATTATACATAGACATATAGGATTTTCTGCCTAAACATTGCATTGTATATGTCTAAAAAGTTGTATTTATCAGGGTCCCGTTGTTAATAATGGCACTGATTCTTGAAATGAATTTCAGATGAGCAATCTAGGGCCATCATGACCCTCTTGTTTATAATTTGTTTTTTGTCAAAAGATGCTTTGTTAACATACTTTTTCAAAAATGAAATCTGTTTACATGTATATTAAGCTTTGTTATATGACATTTGCGTATTAATGTAATTGAATGTTTTCATTTAATTGACGAATAAACAAAGTTTCATATAAATTATCATGTCTTGAGGTTATATATACGTCATTGGGTTATATACTACCAGAAAAAAGAAACCGCAAGTATAAAATGTTGATGTATCGCTTAGTAGTGATTGGAACTTCAAACAGGTACTATAGTAAGGTTTGGAGATGGTACTAACAGTTTGGGACTACCAGATAGTTACTTTAACTGAGACATTTGCCAAACAATTTGTGTCATATTGCATTGAAACTAGCAGAGACTATTTTATGGGGTAACGCCGATTTCGTGAATGAGGCACCAAAAAAACAACAAAAACGCAGGCAACCTAATAAGTGCCTTAATCATATTTTAGTGTTACGTGGCACTAGTAGTTTGGCAAATGTCAAAGATATGGCATAAGTAATAGTTATAGTATATGGAACGAGTTAGTTATGAGGATATAACACTGACTGGGGCGACATCAATCGATGTTTCTGCTATAAATAAAAGTGGAGGTCGTTTGAGTTTTCCATTGTTCTCAATATTTGAAATGCTTACATAAAATGCGCTCATAGTAGACCAATCCACTGTTATTATGCAAGTACTTTCTGATTTCTAAACTAAACTGGGGAAAAATACCCCAAACACACTCGTGCACACATGATTCAAACAGTTTCAGCGCACGTTAACGAATCAGAAGTGGCTATAAATGTTATTCGGATAAGTTTGTGTGTGTTTTTTATAGTTTATAACACATTGCCATAGATTTTAATTTAAAAGCATTTTTCGAATATTGTTTTTGACTAAATACGGATTTGGCACTTCCAAGATACATACATGTACATTAAAAAAAAATATTGAGCGTATTATTGGAAAAAACAACAACAACACAAAAACAACAACAAAGGCACGACATAATCACATAAGGGTTTTATTATTCCACCTGTTTGACAGTACATGCATCCAGTTGACGCCACATTTAGCCCACTATTCCTTGGAAGCTGAAAGTAAAATTACATCATAGTTACTGTGGTAAATAAGGCAGATTTATTTTAATGGTTTATTAGGCTCTAGTTCATTATCTTAACGTTTGTCCTGCTCGCAACAATATATTTTTCCCCTGCTAAAATCAGTAGATGCACATGGTGTACACCGCACATATTTTGAAAATTTCCCTAAAAATGATGAACTTCACAGATGGACAAGTCTAATATGTATAAGATATTTAGCGTGATTACGTCATATCTGGTAAGGGAAGTAACTCTTCTTGGACGTTTATCGCTTAAATGAAAGTGTCTATACTGGCATTTGAAGGAAATAAAACAAATTAGTACTTAAGTACATACATATAGAGAGGGTTATTCCATTTTGAGAAATAAATGTTAGTAAACAAAACGGATAATTAGGTAAACTGAAGGGCAATGTTACATAACACTTTTCGTTGTTCATTAAAAAATATCAATGACGGCATTTATTATGTCGATTTTAATGAGTTGACATTATATTTCTTTCTACAAGTAAATTTATTTTCAAAGCAGCATGCCTCCAGATTTATGCTCATTTTCATGGAATTTTGGAAAAAGTACAAAAAGTAGGATATTGTCAAGTGAACAAAGAAAGAAATATACACATTCGTCCATGCAAATTACTCCGTTAGTCCCACATTATAAATATGGTAATACACTGTTCGTTAAATCAGTCATTCATTGCATATAACATGTAAACTATTTATATTTTTACTTTTCTTAAAATAAATTTTAGTACATTTTTCTTAACTTATTTTCCAGTTGCAGCTTTCACTCACCCATCAGGTTTTTTCAAAAATGTAAGGCAAATTCGAAGCGATACAATGTCAATCGTTCCATTGTCCAAAGAAGTTATTCCCGTTTAATTTAGCACAGTTTTAATTATGATCATAATTATTGGGCTTATCCGGATGCCAGTTTGAATATCCAGTTTGTGACATGGGAGCCTTCGTCTCCATCCATACCCAGACCCCTTCTTCTCGTGTATCACTGAGAGTTATCCGGTAGTTTTCTTAAAAATGTGGAAAAATAGAACTAAACAAAGCAAGGTACGATAGCATAACGCTTGATAAGGATGTACGTTGACAGAACTAGTGCCAGTCCAATTCAACCTGCGTATAGCTTCAAGCAGAAAGCGTTATGGACATCTAAAAGACTTGTCCTTGCGTTGTTCAAACTTCTCCAAATTCCGCCTGAGGCGTGCTCATCGAGGAGAAGGCTCGCGGCAGTTCAAGGTCCAGCCGTCCTAAGGACCAGGGATGATTGGTTGACGTACCGTGACTAACTCGAAAGGGTGTGGTCCTGCAAAGGGTCGTTGCTATGAAACACGGATACATACATTTAAATATTGTCGAACTTCATTATCACCAGCAAACGAAGAATAGATCTTAGGCGGAGCGGCATGAAAAAGACGTCCCCGATGCCGCTACAATCAACGGACCGGCAAGGACGCAGTAGGTCTCGGACATATGATTCATTCCGGTGAAGAATGCATGTATAGATAAATAAAAAAAACTAACATGTCAATTGGTAATTATTAATTAGTTATCCACGAAAACCAGTAACTATGACGGCTGATTTGGTACACTTTTCGCGTAGCGTTGTCGATATCGTCAACGAAACCTATATCGTTATCGCATTTTCGTCTTGTCGCTAGCAAAGCACGCCAAACGGCGCATTTTTGTGCGGCGCGTTATCAAGATGTCGCCCTGTCGCTCGGCTTATATGTATACAAATAGCCAATCCTTCGATTTTAGCCGAGCGACAATGTTACATCCCGACAACACGCCGCACGACAATGCGCCATTTGTTGTGCATCGTTAGCGACAAGACGACACATTGCCATAGATGTAATAAGCATTGATCAGATTATGTTTTTGACTAAATATAGATTTCTCACTTCCAAGATACACACATTAAAATAAACAACAAGGACACGACATATTCAAGGTGTTTTTTTATTCCACATGTTTGACAGTTCATGTATTCAATTGACGCCAGATTTAGCCTACTATTTCTTGAAAGCTGAAAGTAAAATATCAAAATAAGTGTGATATATAAGATAGGTTTATTTTAAACTGTCTATTAGGCTAATAATAATTAACTAATTCATTATCTTAACTTTTGTCGTGTTAGCTACTGTATATTTTCGCATGCGACCAGTGCAGACCAAGATAAGCCGGCACATGGTGTACATTGCACATGTTTTGAAAATTTCCGTTAAAAGTGAACAATTTCATCTAGATTGATGGATGGAGAAGTTCAATTAAGATATTTAGCTTGGTTGATAAGGGTTAAACAATGCCACTCAAATCATTTATCCGAATGTTGTCGTGGCCGTCGCCATCCCGAAACTTTAATGATCATTTCTTTATGGATTGTCTTCATACTTAATTACAAAACAATAAAGTATTTGACCTAGATTCATATTGTTGGTCAGCATGTTTAATTGTGCACCTAGTGGTTTACTTGTGTATTTATTCATTATTTCAATTTATTTGTAGAGTAATTGTCCCTGACCTAGTTAAAATTTGCAATTTTCAACTTTTACCGTGTATAGTCCAAAAAGTATTTGACCTAGGTCAGGAAACTTCACAGAAATGTCAGTTAGCATGTGTAGTTGTGCACCTGGAGGTTTGCCTGTAGATTTATTCGGTATTTGTAGAGTTATTGTCCTTGACTTCTTAGTAAGCCCTTGGGTCAAATTGGTCACGCCCGGGTTGGGGGGGGGGGTGGCGGGGTTAATTGATTTAAATTTTATGTGTATAGTAAAATCTTTAAAAATCTCCTTTTATAAACCCAAAATAGCTAGAACTCCGATATCTAGCATGAAACATTTTCTAGTAAGTGTCTACCAAGTTTGTTCAAATAAAAGCCATTGGATCAAATTGGCCTCGCCCCGGGGGTTATTGATATTCTTTATATGCATATATTAAAAAAATAAGTTTTTACACATGCACTATTTCAGATACAAGTATGAACCTTGTGATATCAGTTTAAGACTTAGATTTTATATCAGCTTTTGTTTATAGTTTTCACTATTACTTGCTCCTTGTCATGGAGAGTTTTTATATACAGGTGATCGATTTCAGGGCTATCATGACCCTCTTGTTTCAGTTTTTTTAGAGTTATTGCCCTTGATTTAGTAATTGCTAGGTTGAATCCGACCATGGGTCATCTTGAATGAGAAATAAGGTCACCGCAGCCAAAAAAAAACAGAAATATCTTGTTAACACTCTAGAGGCTACTGCTTCGATTCAAATAACCTAGAAATGTGTCAGAAAGTTATTTTTGATGATTTCTAGCGGGTCAAAAAACAAGGTCACACAGCCAAAATATGGAAAAAAACTTTGTAAACATTCAAGAGGCTACCATTTCAGTTTATATACTTAAAAATTGTTCATGAAGTTTGCTAAGATGATTTGTATTTAAAATTCAAATATGGGTCATCGGTAGTTAAAAACTAGGTCACACAGCCCAAATTTGTAAAAACCTTGTTAACACTCTAGAGGAAACATATTCTGAAAAATTGAAACAGAGGTTTTGTAGAAGATTTCTAATTAATGATAACAATATGGATCACCTAGAGTAAAAAAGAAGGACACACCTCAAATATGAAAAAAACCTTGCTATCACTCTAGAGATAACATTTTCAGTCTGAATATCCTGGAAATTTGTCAGAAAGGGTGTTTTGATGGTTTAAGCTCTTTTACGAATATGGGTAACCTGGGGTAAAAAAACAAGGTCACACAATCCAAATATGAAAAAAAACACATCTTAACACTCTAAAGGCTACTGTTTTGTCCAAATATCCTCCAGATTGGTTGGAAAGGGTATTTTGAAAGTTTTCAGTTCAAGTTTAAATATGGGTTCCCTTTTGGTTTTGAAATAGGTCACACAGCCCAAATATGGAAAAACTTTTTCTCAGAACTGTAGTGATTACATTTTCAGCCCAAATATCCTTGAAATAGCAAGAAATGTTGTTTAGATGATTATAAGCTAAAGGTTGAGTATAGTTCACGTTGGCCCAAATGTTAACACTCTAGAGGTAATATTTTTATTTTAAGATTAAGGCATTATTCATGTATCTGATTTTCATTCATAGTTAACAATTTTAATTGTTCCTTGTCATTGAGAGCCTTAATAATTGTGTGAGCGATATAAGGGCCATCATAGCCCTCTTGTTTCAATACTTAGCTAAAGCTTTGTTTTTATGAATGGATTGTCTTTATACTTGAGCGACATTGTGTTAAAGAAAGATCAAACTCAATTTGACCTTGACCTTTAAATAACCTTAATCTTGAAGATCATATTGTAATTTCACATTTTTCCTTTTCTATAATTGGCTATAACTTTGTAATTAATGAATGAATTGTCTTTGTCTTGTGATCAAAAATTCTAAGGACAAGACCGTAAAAGAAGATTTAATTGCACTAGACCTTAAAGAAATATTGACACTTAAAATTATCTTTTTTTGCTGTAATTTATCAAATCTTTATTATTTATTTATGAATTTGATTTAGACTTAGACACAAACAAATCTGATGACAAAACTCGTATGTTGAACAATTCAAATATGACCACTTTTATTTGACTGACCGTCAATGTTAAATTATTGAAATTTGTTTAAATTATCTTGAATTTGTAATTTACTTACAGGTTTGAAAAATACTTGGATAAAAGATCACATGTGACAAAACCGACAAGTTGAATTATTCTGATATGACCTTGACCTTTACTTGACCTTGACCGTCAATATCAAATTATTGAAGTTTGTTTAAATTGTCAAAAGATTGTTATTTATGGAATTAATTCATTTTTGGACAAAACTGACATGATGATGATTTTAAATGTGACATTGGCCTTTGAATGACAATGATCGTCAAGGTCAGATATGAAATTTGAATATTTTTTTACAAACAAACTTTGTAGGAGAACTCTTTCTTATAGATTCTTCCTCTGTATGTTTGACCTAAGAAATAAGAAAACAAATCAAGTGTTGGCGCTTGATAAAAAAAGAACATCAATCATCAAATTGACCCATCGGGCATTTGCTTTCAAATCTGCATTTTTTCAAACAAATGTCGATTTAGTGAGTTGAATCTTTAAATGAATTTTTAAAACTTACTTATCAGGTTTTTCGCATATGTAAAGCACAGCAGGATCGCTACAATGCCAATCGTTCCAAAGACCATTTTCCTTATGCCCATTCAATGTAACACAGTTTTGATTATGAGCATAATTATTGGGCTGATCCGGATGCCAGTTTGAATATCCAGTTTGTGACATGGGAGTCTTCGTCTCCATCCATACCCAGACCCCTTCTTCTTGTATATCACTGAGAGCTATCCAGTAATTTTCTTTAAACATGTGAAAAAACTATTTAGCAAACAAGCGTACGCCAGCGTCACACATGATTAGGACCTACTTTTACAGAACGAACTACTGCCAATCCAATTCAATCATGTGTATAGCTTCAAGCAGAAACGCGTCATGGTGCTATTGCGTTGTTAAGACTTCACCAAATCCGTCCCGAGGCAGGCACTCTGCAGATCAAGGTCAAATAGTCCTAAGTATCATGGGTGATTAGTTAAGCTGCCGTGATTAACTCGGGATGGTGTGGTCCTGCAAAGGGACTTTGTTATGAAACACAGACACCTTGGAAGTACATGTATTGTCAAATTTCATAACCACCAACGAACGAAGAATAGGACTTCCCCGATGCCGCTACAATCAGCGACCATCAAGGACACAGTAGGCCTCGGACATATGGTTCATTTCGGTGCTGAATTCATGTATAAATAAATAAAAAGAACTTGCAGGCTAGATAGTAATAATTATCTAGTTATCCACTAAATCCAGTAAGATGGACTGACTGCCTTGATATGACAAAAATATGCTAATATAAGCGTAATTTTACCAACCAAGTCACCTATAAACTATCTACAAATTACGTAATTTTTAATAACATTTTATTGAAATAAAAGTCAAACAATCTAAAAGAAAATGCCGTACAACCAACTTCATATTTTAATGGCGTGAGAATATTCCTATGGCCACGAGATAAATAAAAACACACACATGTCACCTTTGTGCCACCGTAGCTACAGGAACAAGATAGTTAAGAAAATAATGATAATAGCCTTGTTTGTCTGTAAGGCTAATAAATATTTTATAACGTTCACAATTAACGTAACTAAAAATTTCCTTTCTCTGTTTTGTACTTTGTTAAAGACCCATTGTCGGAGCGTCCGTGACCCAGTGGTAAAGGGTGTTGACTTCATACCACATGTCCGTCACCGGTTCGAATCCCACCAGTGACTTTGGATTCTTTCATGCTAGCTTACAGACCGTCGAAGATGCTACTCAGGTGCCCGTTTGTGCCTGAAATAATGAGGTTACTACCGGAGGTCTTCCTACATCAGTTAAGCTAAAAAGTCGACATATGACCTTTGCAGTACTGGTGCGACGTTAAGCTCAATCAAAACCAAAAAAAAAAAAAAAAAAGACTAATTAAATTAAATTATATTATGGATTTTTTTGATATAGCCTCTGTCTTTGAAATGTGATTGTTTGTTCGTTTTCTCTTCTAAATTTTACGTCGCTGAGATTAAGAAATGAAAATATGTGCGTAGATACTTACTATCAAACCTCATTGCCATTGATGCAACAAAAGCTTGTTCTGCAGATGATTCAATCTGTACTAGTTCACCACCTAAAATGTGACACATTGTCTGAAACGGACAATACAATGAATTTATTACAGACGTTCTTATCTTACTTTTTACTGACCACATTTAAAAGTAAAATATATAAGCAATGTACTGTTCCTTTATATATATAACACTTTACTACTTAGTTTAGGTGGACTTTTACACGACATAATGGAACAAATTAATAAATCCCAACATTTAAAACTATTTTTTAAGCTTAGACCGTTCTGTGTATTTATACTATTCGAGATTTTTTTGCGAAGTTTTCCGGAATGGGCCGAAAACTTGCGAATGGGCATACCATAGCGTTTGGCCAATCCTCCTGGTCGTGACTAAAGTGATAACAGGAATTATCATGCCGCATCCATCCGCTTGGACAAGTAGATGCATCTAGTAAATAAATGAATATAATTATCCTTCTATATATACCTCACAAGTCTACTTGAATATATATCAACACATGAAAATATACAGGACTTTTGAGGTAAGAGTAAAGGTATATTGTTTTAAATATATTTATTCAACAAAACAGTTAACGTGTGAACAATATTTACAAAATACATTTTGGGATTGGACAGAAAGCTATAAAGCTCTCCCTTTTATAGCAATATACATATAGTTCAAGGTATTACCATGCACAATGGTTACTTGAAATTAATTTCAAGAAGTTTTCATAATAATGAAGTATTCTAAAATGTCACATATGTAAGAGTAAACAGTAATAAAGAACAAAATAGAGCAAAATGAATGAAAAATGAAGCAAACTGCAGAAGATGACAACGCTTAGCATTGAACCAAAAGAAGCACAATAATATCTTATTAAATTGCTTTTAAGTTGCATATAAGCAGACTAGAGCAAAATAGATATACAATGAATATTTAAGGAAAAAGATAAAAGAGAAAGGAAAGAAAAAATGGATGAACAATGATGAAGCAATATCGAGGAACTAGTTAAGATGCATAATCTAGTATCTGTTCAATATGTTGAATATGATGACATTTCTGATTGATAAACTAGAATCATAAGGTAAGAATGATATTGAAAGAGGATTACACAATGGGGAATAGTCCCACAGATAAGTATATTTAGGGCATTCTACGCATTTTCTCTCGCATTAAGGAGAGTCGATAATGTTCTTTCCAAATAAATCGGCAGAAAGTGAACTGCAGTGAGTACGTTATCCTGTCTGAAAAAGAAGAGTAATGTGCGCCCATGCAAAGAAAATGGGCAGGTACACTTGGCATATCAATATTTAGCAGTCGCTTAAACGATGTTAACGTTGTATAGCAGTTTGTGTTGGAAGTGGAAGAGAGTTGAATTCCTTAATAACAGAAGGTAAGAATGATTTAAAGTAAAATTCTGTATTGGTACGAATATTTTGTCTGTTGTCCTCGTTCCGGAGAGGGCAACGATGCTCACTGCCAACCGACGGATGGACACGATCAGAAAGGTAATGTGGTGTAAGATTGTTTTTCTTGTTAAAGAAAAGAATAAGGATTCCCAGCCACATTAATTTTAGTTAATCAATAGACACGAGTATTGTTGTTCCAGTTATTATTTTAGCGGTTTCATGTTGAATTTGTTCGAGCTCCTTTTTATCACTTTGCGTACAATTATCAAAAAACTCATCTTCATATTCTAGAATCGGTCTTATGAAAAATTGGCAAATGACCTTTAATGATTTCCTGTCGAGTTAGAATTTTGATTTTTATAACATTTATTCTATTCCAAGCTCAAGCTTTATTTGTGATATATAAGATATGTGTGGACCGTCTTAGGTCATGAGCGAAAGTATTACCCAAGTGTTGTGTTTGTGAATACATGTACGTACTTGTTTGTGTGCCTTGCATAAAGATGGGAGGATGTATATGCTTATGTTTGTTTTTCGTTATATCAATAGCGATTCTGTTTTTTGGCGGATTAAACTTACCAACCATTTTTCAGGAAAATAGAGAAAATAAGAATCCCTAAAGAAAGTCCAACACAACATAATTGAAAATGTTGCAGACTCGGTTTGATTGAGCCTGTTCATGGACGGTACTGTAAAGTGCAAACTACCGTCCACGCCCCCTGGTACCGGCTTAATCAGAATTCAACATTTAAACATGAAATGGTAAAATTTTGAATTTAGAAACATCCGCAGATGTGTTCATACGGCGGTTATCATGGAACCTTCAACATGACACTTCCGTGCCATTCCATGAAAAGCGGCGTATGGTCCCCAAGTAATAGAAAGCTTGTGCCCTAAACGAGAAAACAATGGGCGGAACTAAATAAAATGGAATTTTGAAAGGGGATCAGAGGTTATGAGGTATATCTTTTGCTTGATATGTGTTACGGATAGTTGAAACAGTGGCGGGATCTTCGACAACAATGAATAGGTTAGTATCGTCGGCAAAAAGTCGATCGACATCTGCCTTTGAAATTTTGCACACTTGTTCACCATTGATGTCGACAATAATATCGTTAATATAAACAAGAAACAACAAGGCCTCCAGCATTGACCCTTGCGGCACATCAGTGGTAATAAAGTTTAGAGAAGATCTACAACCAGGTAGAACAACCCTCTCTTCTGTCCTTAAGATAAGAAGAAAACCAAGAGGAAAGACGACCAGATATACCGATGCAATTTGATTGAAAAGTCCCTTGTGCCATTTATGGTCTAACCATATTGAATTTTCAATTCGAATGAGATGGGTATGTGTATTTTACATGAATATATCGATTTGCGCGAGTTTTTGAAAGCTATAACATCTTAAAACGTGTTTTGTTTTTTTATTATAAATTGAACACTTCACTTATTTATTCCCCTGCACTGTTTGTAATTAAAAGAAATTAAAACAGACTTACGTAAGCACCAGGATAAAGAACATAAAATCAACAAGAAATAAATGTTATCTACTTATCTTATCAATTTCTTAATTTTGTCCCATATATATATTTCCGTGACAATGACAACGATAAAATATTACATGAGTGAACAATTTACAACAATTCCACAAAAAATGACAAAAGTCTGGATAAAGTGTGATCTCTGGGATGCATAAATATCAACAAAATTACATGAAAGTTAACTGGGTTTGATTGAGTCTGTACATGAGGGATATTGAAACCGCACTTTATACAAGTTAATATTGTCACAATATGTATGCTTTAAACAAGACATGCATAAAGGAATAACAAGTATTCTTAAAAACTGGGTTTTCTCTCACTTTCGTTGATGTATTCGGAAAAAAAGATATGTTAAGTTTTTATATGAATTTATATTTTTCACATACCTATAACAATTCATAGTCCTTTGTTCTTATGTTTTAATAGTTGCAGTAAACTCTCTTATCTTTAAAGCTAGATAAGATGCACGGAAACCCACGCTATTATTTCATATGTAGGTGAAGAGTATATATATATCAACGTTCAAACTTTAACGGCATGCTCGTAGGCACTTGATTCTAAGCCTGTCGGAGGCAACAAATTCTGTTCGTGCGACCAGTGCAGGCCCAGAATTGCCGGGAGACCCGTGCCATCTGAGCGTATCTGCACTGTTTACTTTTCTGTCAGTGCTTATTTCTTATCTCGTCTATTCGAAAAATAAGTAGCTCTGTCCTAGTACCCGAGCATTGGCGTCGGCGTAACCATTTATATTAAAGTTTGCGTACCATCTCAAATATTTACAAAGTCCATTATTATCTGGCTTTGAAGCTTTTCACAATTGTTCACCATCTTGACCCCAACCTGTAGACATGAAGAGGTAAATCTATCAAGAATTTTGTCAGAATTATACCCCTTTTTCAACTTAGAATTTATGTTAAAGTTTGTGTACCACAACAAGTTTTTTTTGAATTCCATTGACATCTGGCTTTGAATTGTGTACACTTGTTCAACCTGTACTCAGAAGGAGGTAACTCTTTCAAGCATTAGGACAATATTCTGCCTCTTTTTTGGTCAATATTTCATCTGCCAATGAATATCAAATCATGTATTCAATGGCTCACTGGTCAATAATAATTGGATATTGTGAATTTAATAAAATTCTTTTGTCAATATCCAAGACACTCATAATCATGTCATGTACATTATTTGTATATTTATAAATGATTTATTTCTGCTTATTAATTCTTACATTATCAAAGCTCTTGTTTTACAATTAAGCACTGAAAATAATCCAGCACGATGTCCTACTGACAGCTTTTGTTTGAGGTTATCGCTAATAGTTAAGCTAAGGGTTAATAGAATTAGAGATATTACCAACGCAATGGCTTGAGTTGTAGGCGAACGAGTTGAACAGAGACTTTTGTGACAAGTCACTTATTATATATCACTCACACACTAAACGTTCACAACGCACGCGCGCGCACACGTACACACACACACACACACAAACACACACACACACGCACACACATGTTCGCACTTGAGCGCACTCTCTCACATACGCACGCAAGCACAAACACGCGCGCAGGCACGTATGCACCTACACATGCTCACACACAAAATCACTATCTCTTACTGATCCTAACAATCCGCCCATTGACAAATTCTTGAAATACAAAACGTATTTTATTAGAAATGAAAACATCCAATTTATAATGTAAGTGGTATTAGTAATAAGGAAGATGAAAAAATATGCAATAACAGTAATGGCATTGTGATCTGATAAGAAAGACCTCACATTTGCACTTTAAACAAAGTGTTCTTGGAAACTGGGCAAAGTTAACCCTTTTAGCTCACTGGATCTCTTCAGAAAGTGTATATGACGACCATTTTTCGTCTTAATATGAATCAGCTCATATACTTTCCCCGCAATAGTGCATTGCAAGTTATGTAAATATATGATAAGATTAACCGGTTCTGCAAACAGTTCAGTTTAAAAGCAAGATTTTATATGTCCGGTGATTATACTTTGAAATAATTGAAAATAATCAAATAATTATCATTATGCAGAGATGTTTCTGCCATCAACAACAAAAACAACAAAGGCACGACATAATCACATGATTTTTATTTCACTTGTTTGACAGCACATGCATCAAGTTGACGCCACATTTAGCCTACTATTTCTGGTAAGCTGAAAGTAAAATTACATCATAGTTACTGTGGTAAATAAGACAGATTTATATTAACAGTTTATTAGGCTCTAGTTTATTATCTTAACGTTTGTCGTGCTAGCAACAGTATATTTTCCCATGCTAAAATCAGTCTGCTCATGGTGTACACCGCACATATTTTGAAAATCTCTCTAAAAATTATGAACTTCACATAATGAAGATATTTAGCGTGATTACGTCACATCTGGTAAGGGAAGTAACCCTTCCTCGACGTTTATCGCTTAAAACTGGCATTTAAAGGAAATAGAACAAGTTAGTACTTAAGAGAGATTGTTCGATTTTGTGAAATAAATGTAACTAAACAAAACGGATGATAAGTTAAACTAATGGGCAATGTTAAATAACATCTTTCGTTGTTCATTAAAAATATCAATGACATAGCATTTATTATGTCGATTTAAATGAGTTGACTACAAGTAAATTTATTTTCAAAGCAGCATGCCTCTAGATTTATGCTGATTATCATGGAATTTTGGAAAAAGTACAAAAAAGTAGGATATTGTCAAGTTAACAAAGAAAGAAATTTACTCATTTAGTCCACGCAAATTACCAAATATGTTATATTTGTAAAATATACAAATATAACATTTACTCTGTTAGTCCCACATTAGAAATATGGTAATACACTGTTTGTTAAATCAGTCATTCATTGCATATGACATGTAAACTATTTATATTTTTACTTTTCTTAAAATTTTAGTACATTTTTGTCAACTTATTTTCCAGTTGCAGCTTTCACTCACCCATCAGGTTTTTCGCAGTTGTAAGGCAAATTCGAAGCGCTACAATGCCAATCGTTCCATTGTCCATAGAAGTTATTCCCGTTTAATTTAGCACAGTTTTGATTATGATCATAATTATTGGGCTTATCTGGATGCTAGTTTGGATATCCAGTATAGACTAGTGCCAATCCAATTCAACATGCGTATAGCTTCAAGCAGAAAGCGTTATGGACATCTAAAAGACAAGACTTGTCCTTGCGTTGTTCAAATTTCTCCAAATTCCGCCTGAGGCGTGCACATCGCGGAGAAGGCTCGCAGCAGTTCAAGGTCCAGCCGTCCTAAGGACCAGGGATGATTGGTTGACGTACCGTGACTAACTCGAAAGGGTGTGGTCCTGCAAAGGGTCGTTGCTATGAAACACGGATACATACATTTAAATATTGTCGAACTTCATTATCACCAGCAAACGAAGAATAGATCTTAGGCGGAGCGGCATGCAAAAGACGTCCCCGATGCCGCTACAATCAACGGACCGGCAAGGACGCAGTAGGTCTCGGACATATGATTCATTCCGGTGATGAATGCATGTATAGATGAAAAACAAACTAACAGGTCAATTGGTAATTATTAATTAGTTATCCACGAAAACCAGTAACTATGGCGGCTGATTTGGTACACTTTTCGCGTAGCGTTGTCGATATCGACAACGCAATCTATATCGTTATCGCATTTTCGTCTTGTCGCTAGCAAAGCACGGCAAACGGCGCATTTTTGTGCGGCGCGTTATCAAGATGTCGCCCTGTCGCTCGGCTTATATGTATACAAATAGCCAATCCTTCGATTTTAGCCGAGCGACAATGTTACATCCCGACAACACGCCGCACGACAATGCGCCATTTGTCGTGCATCGTTAGCGACAAGACGACACATTGCCATAGATGTAATAAGCATTGATCAGATTATGTTTTTGACTAAATATAGATTTGGCACTTCAAAGATACACACATAAGAAAAACAACAAAATTTTGGAAACAAAGTGATCCCTCGGAAGCATTAATCACAACAAAATAACATAAGAATTGCAGACTCGGTTTGATTGAGTCTGTACATGAGGGATAATGAATAAAGACACGACATATTGAAGGTTTTTTTTTTATTCCATCTGTTTGACAGTTCATGTATTCAATTGACGCCAGAATTAGCCTACTATTTCTTGAAAGCTGAAAGTAAAATATCAAAATAAGTGTGATATATAATACAGGTTTATTTTAAACTGGTTAACCTGCTAGCAACAGTATAATTTCCCATGCGACCAGTGCAGACCAAGATCAGCCGGCACATGGTGTACATTGCACATGTTTTGAAAAAAAATCCATTAAAATGAACAATTTCATCTAGATTTATGGATGGAGAAGTCCAATTAAGATGTTAAGCTTCGTTTGCAAGGGTTAAAGTTGACCACCGTAATGCATTACCTTCACTTTGAAGAGTATTCAAATAGGCTAAAATCACTGTCAACTGCATTGAAACTGAGGGGCGTGGGTTCAAACCCCAAACGGGGCAACTTTTTTCTTTCTTTTTAACATTATTTATGTATCTCTCAGATCCCTTTCGGAAAGAAAATTGTTTGATTTTAAATATATTATTATTGTAGGCAATTATTTGCTAAATAATGCCAAATTTAATTGCAAATATGATTCCAGGTATTTTCAAAGTTTAATAAAATAAAATTTACACGGTGAAAGTATTTAATATTTTGAAAAAATCAACAAATATACATTAAGAAAATTAGACACATTTTGAAAACAGCCTCTCATTGTTGTAAATTTTAGAGATTTTATAAATAAGGCTTTTTACATTGGTCAATTCAATGCTTAAAGTGGATGGGGTAGGGTAACATTTTTATACATTTTAAAAACGTTACACTCGTGTAACTTGTTAGCTGAAAGTAATTATTTGTTTCTTAACATTGATCAATAGAAAAACATTTTTTATAATGATGACGTTATGAATTATATAGTGTTTCCTCATTTCTGAAAAAGAGCCCTTCATATAGCAAAGTCTTAGTTCAGAAAAATGTCCATAACTCATAAACCACACGGTAAATTTTGTTTAAAATTTGCCTTCAGGTGACCTTTAATAACATTACTGTACTATGTTGTCAATTTTACAGTTCTTTTTAGTGTCCTAATAGGGGTGGCATGGCCTACCTTAAACAATGCCACTCAAATCATGTATCCAAAACCTTCTTAAAAAAGGTATGAAATGTCATTACTATTTATTATCAGAAAGTGGTTAGGTTTGTTGAGTTTAGGTATGAATCTCTTAGTATTTACCCATGTAACTTATATTTACATTGGTTTCTACCGTTCCCGCACTTATATTATAAGCCATTCTATTTTCAGTTACAGGTTCTATACAGGCTCCCATGGAAAGTACAGTGATCCGAATTGGCAGGTGCTTGTAATTGCAAGACGTGGTTTCTCCAGACCTCCCCAAAAAAGTTGGCCGTAAGTACCAATCAAACGACTCACTGATAACAACCAAATCAATAAAAACTGATGATGACTAAATTTATCGTTTCTTTTTTCAACTAATCAACTTATTATTATTATTATTATTATTATTATTATTGTGTGAAATAAAAGTAACTAAACAAAATAGCGAATAAGTTAAGCTTATTGAGTTGACATTAGATTTCTTTCTTCAAATAGATTTCTAAACTTATTTTTAAAGCTGCATGCCTCAAGATTTATACTAATTTTCATGGATTTAAAAAATGTACGTGAACAAAGAAAGTAATGAACACATTGCAAAAGGCAATTCAGTCTACATAAATTTACCAAATGAAGGTAAAATATGACTGCTTTAGTCACCAAGATAATTGTATTTGTGCAGTCATTCATTGCATATAACATGTAAATTATTTCTTGAAGTAAGAATATTTTTACTTTTCTTAAACTTTTAGTACATTTTTCTCAGTTATTTTGCAGTTGCAGCTTTAACTCACCCATCAGGTATTTCGCATATGTAAGGCACAGTAGGATCGCTACAATGCCAATCGTTCCAGAGGCCGTTGTCGTGAATCCCGTTCAATGTACCACAATTTTCATTTTGATGACCATTATCGGGCTCACCCGGATGCCAGTAAGAAAATTCAGTTTCTGAAATGGGATTTTTAGTCTCCATCCATACCCAGACACCTTCTTCTTGTATATCACTTAGTGCTATCCAGTAATTTTCTATGAATATTTTGAAAAATTAAACAATGCAGTAGTCTAAATAAATTCGGCGCAAAATGTTTGACTCATTTTACAGACTTTTTTCCTACTGTCAAACAGTTAGAAAAAGACATATTCCGAATGAAAAATATCTCAATCGTTTTATTAGCGGACTAACAGAAAAGCATACGATAGCCGAAAAATTGTCGCTATCCTCATGACTGATATATGTGACTTATTTTACTTGTTACGTAATCAAAAGACACTCTTATATTGATGTTATCAACATGTGTACATTGTCTTGCGATCGGTAGACAACATTGTGGCAGTATACATAAAACGTCCATCTTTACCTCAATACCTTTACCTCAATACTTTGATTTAACCCACCATCTTTAATGAAATGCCAACGCTGTCGACATACTCTATTTGATAGATCCTGGTCAACGTAAAGAAAGTTCTATACATTGCTACTGCTACAGAACAAAAATTGTCTTAAGATAGTTTAGAAAATAATGTTAATAACCGTTTTTGTCTTTTAGGCAAATTAATCTTTTATAATGTATTAAAAACGTATAATAATTGATGTTGTTTTTTGTTTTTGTTCGTTTTCCCTTCATGATTTGCTGAGGTGTAGATACTTACTGTTAAACCGCGTTGCCATTGATATAAGGAAAGCGTTTTCTGCAGCTGATTCAATCTCTACTAGTTTACCACCTAAAATGTGACACATTGTCTGAAACGGACAATACAATAACTTTATTAAAGAACATTCTTATCTTACTTTTTACTTTTCCCCTTTTTCAAAATGCATTTGAAATTATGATAATTGACCGCCGCCACGAGAAAAGGGCACTCGGGCATATATGACGTAACGTCAAAAACTTCGGGAAAAGGAGAGCGGCTAAAGACAGCGATTTTTTCGTCGCCATACTAGTTTCGGTGCGCGAGATTTATAAAGTATTGGCTGTATATGAATTGTTTGAGGAAATGGACGAATTTGAGGTAAAAAACAAACATTATATTATATTTATTTTTAAAAAATTTGGTGTCTAGTCGTTGTGTTACTGTCATATTTATTGACTTTTAAACACGCCTGCTGTTCGCTATCGTTTGCAGCTTTAATCCCGGTCTACGAATTATTCACAGCAAAACTGTACATTAATTTTAAATGATGTCACACTTTGCAATTTCTGTCAGTTTATTTCATATTGAATTTTATTAGCGCTGTATTGATTTTTTTCTTTTGACAGCAGTGTTTACATAAATGCTAAGCGACGTGATTCTCTCCCCTGTTTGCTATTTTTAGCAAAAATTATTTTATATAATAAATATTGATGGCATATGATAATATTTTCCGTGGCTCAGTGGATACAGCGTTTGCGTTGCGTGCACGTCGATCGTGGTTCGATACCTCGTTCAGTCTTATTTTTTTTTTTACATTTAATCTTTAAATGTTATTTCAAATACTTTTTTCGATTATTTTAGGAATTAAATGGATTATTTGAATCATTTGGAGTACCTGCCGAGCAGAGTCCAACATCAACAGAGGTTGTTATTCCTGAAGATCTGAGCCAGGAGTTTGAAGTCAGTGACAGTGACACAGAACAGTCTGACACAGAACAGGTAGTGAATGAAAGGATTGAAGAAGTGATTAGAAATTATGACACTGTAAATACCAGGGAATCAGACTCAAACAGAGACACTGATGACGAATCATGCAACAGAGCCAGTAATGTTTGTACATGTAAAGTGGATTGCCTTCTCCAGTTTGACAAAACTAGTGTTGACAGTCACATACTTTCTATGAGAGAGATTGACAGAAATGAAGCAGAGATGTTCATTACTGGGAGTGTACATCAAATTGCTACTGACGAAACTCTTAAAGGGAAACGCCGGAAACGGACTCGTTTTAGATACACTTTTCATGGTAAACCTATCTGTAAGAAGGCATTCATGTATGTAAATGATATCGGATCAAAAGCTCTCCGAAACCTACTTGATCACTTTACTTCCAATGGCGCAATACCACGTACCCACGGTAACAGTGGAAGAAAACCACACCATGCCCTCGGTTACAATGAGATACGGTTTTGTGTAGACTGGATTTTATGGTATGCAGATATCAATGGTTTACCTATGCCAGCAGCACCCAGGGGCCGTGACGGGGAAGCCCCTATTCTTCTCCCGTCGAACCTTACAAAAGCTTCTCTACACAGTCAATATTGTCAGGCATGTGAGGAGACAGATGTACGGAAGCTCGGAGTGTCATCATTCAAAAATGTATGGAAAAATTGCATTCCACACATAAAGATAATGTCACCAAAAGATGACGTGTGTCATAAGTGTGAGCAGTTGCGACATAGTGTTATGGATGCTGTGACGGAGCAAGCAAAACTTGATGCAGCAAATTGTCTCCGGGAGCATGTGCAGGTATTCTATATTGCTAATTGTTATCTTGTATTTTCAAAGTAGCTTTTTATTTTCCCTTTGTTACATCTCATGTAAGTAATACCGTAGGCATAAAAATCATAGATATTTTATATACATGTACATCTTGGACAAACCACAATATATGTTTTACTTTAATGTTTTAGGATGCTCAAACAGAACGACAGGCGTACATGACAGCGGTTATTCAAGCGAGAGAAGAGATGGTAGGTTACACCCGACCGACAATACCCGTTGCACCAATTTCCACAGAGTTCAGTAAGGTATGCATATGACAGTTATGGTATAAGCTACAGGTTATATGACCATATATAAACGGTTGTTGTATATATAACCGAGCCGTAAGGCAATTGCAAATTACCGTTTATATTCATTAAGAATTTTATTACGAATTTATAATAATGCAATCTTTCTTTATTATTAGAAGTAAAATGAAATAAATATATAAATCGATTGCAGCAGTGCAGATTATATTAACGTCACGATTATCCGTTGAAAAAATGACGTTATAAACGTGCAATATTATAATTATTAGTGCAAATAACATATTGAGAGTGCAATAGAAGGCTCCTGTCTTTATATTTGATAATTAAAAAAATGGATTTAACATACAAAACTGCATGGTTTTTAAATTAACAATTTACAAAGGCAATTTGGAAAATGCATATGTGATTCATATTGGTAAACTTAGATTAGTCAGAATATTAGTAAATAAAGTCATCATTAGAATAGTCAACATACATGTATAATATAAAAAAATGCTTAGTATTTTATTGATTAATATTTTGGTCAATTTATCAGGTTCATATCACTTTTGACTACAGTCAGAGTGTGACAATCCCTCATCACAGTCGACAGATGGGACCCATGTACTTTGTAACAGGCAGGAAAATAAATATGTTCGGTATCCGCATTGACTCTACAAGTGAGCAGTTCAACTACTTAATAGATGAAGATCAGTCTATAGGTATGTTAACTATTAACCAAATTTACTTAGAAACGTATATCATGACAGAATAGGATATGTGATCGGATGTGGGTAATAGTGGGTTATTTTATGCACGTACAGGCATATTGTCGTCCTCCCGAAATATAATTATGATCCTTGCATTAATGAGTTTTACACTACGCTATATTATTGCCATTTTTATAATTTTATAAATTGATATAAAACTGTATTTCATATAAATTATTGTCACCTTACAGGTTAAGATGGAACTGGGACACATGGACCGAATTCAGTATTAAGCATGCTCCATCATTGTTTACAGAATTACGGATTTGGCGAGAAAGGACTTTATCTACATGCAGATAATTGCGGAGGTAAATCTTGTTTTTACATTAACTTATGAATAAAAATATTCAACATATTCATTGATTAATAATACTAAAAACAAGTAATACAAAGTTATTTCCGTTCCTTTTTCTTGTTAACAGGTCAAAATAAGAATAGATACACACTGGCGTATCTTTGTTGGAGAGTAAACAGAGGGTTACATGAACCCATTCAATTGAATATGGCTATTCCCGGGCATACAAAGTAAGTACCTCGATATATTTATATATAGCATCGTTGCGGCGTATTTGTCAGCGTTGGTTATGTTACTAAAGTAATAAAAATCCTTATGTTTCGTCACAAAATTAAATAAAATCCTCATATTTTATTCAGATATAAGTGAACACATAGTTAAGTAACAGCTTACTCAATACCGGTAATATGTGACGAAGTGGATTTTACTACTACAGTGTTTTTATGGTTATGTGATAACTAATTTGTTTGTACTGTCATTCTTTAATTCTTGTACTTTATTTTTTATCTAAGGTGTCTTGTCGATGGTGGCTTCGGGCGAATTAAAAAGCTATTCAAGAGGTCTGATTGGGAGAGTCTGAGTCAATTTGCAGACATTGTGGATAAATCGGCAAGGAACAATTTCCCTGTTTTATATCGAAATGAAAACAATGATCAAACATGGAAATGGTAATTAATTTTCTACAGAGTTTAAACAGATTTTCGATAACTAGTTAATAATATAATGTAGGCTTAAACATTATAACAAGCATGTATAATAATGATGATCACTATCATAGCCACGCCGATCGCTAGCAATACACATACATAGTAGCAACAAACAAAAACGTTACTTATTTTAAATGCAACAGAAGAAAAGAATTGCAATACCTAAAATCTTTTTTCACAAAGATGGTATATTTTTCAATAAGAATATACGTTATATACATTATTAACTGCATTTAATAAAATAACATTATTTCAACACAGGTATGACTGGAAGTCGTATTTGACGCGATATTTCCTTCAAGTGAAAGGCATACAGAAATATCACTGCTTCAGATTTTCTGCTGCAGACAAGTCAGCTGTGTTTGTAAAGAAAAGAACAGAGAGCGAGGAGATTAGAGTTCCGCTGATAAGACGTAATACTGAAGTTCTAACAACAACCTTTCCCGAGGTCATACAGCCCGCAGGATTAAGTCGTACACGGCGCGAATATTTATACTGTAATGTTAGAAAATATGTGCGTCCTGCATACCAAGATGCCACGTGCCCGGCATACACTGAAGAGTGATTCACGCTGCATGCGTACAGACTGACTGATGAATTTTGTTATTGTTTTCAAGTTCAATTGTTACAATTTTTTATAATTAAAGTTTTGCTGGTTATGACAGCAGGGGCCAAGTCTTATAATTATAAAATGTAATTGTTTTACATGTATAAGTCAAGAATACGATAATTTTGAAAATAGTGTTATAAAATAGTTTTTAAATTATATTTTAATATCTTACTTTTATATATTTTAAGATTATTCTTGTAAGTGCAAAATTAAACTTTTGAAATACTTGACTTCATTTGTTATCTGCTAAACTACATTTGACGTCGTCATAATTATTATGACGTTACGTAAATCTGTCGTTGACGTTGCATTAATGTCCTCTTTTAAACCTCTATATCTCAAAAAGTATTTGCAATATCAATGTGAAATAAAGTGCATCGTGCACAATAATGCATGTCCTAAAATATTAGCCATAAAACTAAAAATCGATAAAAAATGCCCGAGTGCCCTTTTTCTCGTGGCGGCGGTCTTATTATACTATTGCTTAAAAAAAATTAAATTCATCCAATTTTGACATTCGTCATAAATCAAAACCATGTTTAGTGTAATAGCATACCGTAATCGGAACACCCCGACGGTAATTTGTAATAATCCCGGAGTTATAGTACTACCATATGTGACTACAGATATAAACAAAACAGAGAGTGTAATCTTTGTATAATGAGTAACGAATGCATTTATTGACATCCAAAGGAAAAGAAAGTAGTATTTGTAAAATTGTGAATGAAAAATGTGTTTAGCTTAACCGTGTATGTTTTTAGTTATGACCGTTCTCAGGGTTCTGTGTATGATCTTTATCCGAAAACTGACGGAAAGTGCCGAAAAGTTGCGATTGAGCATACCATAGCGTTTGGCCAATCCTCCTGGTCATGACTAAAGTGATAACAGGATTTATCATGCCGCATCCAACCGTTTGGACTAGTAGATGCATCTAGTAAATAATGAATATAATTATCCTTCTATATATTGAGTTCATACCTCACAAGTCTACTTGGCATGAAAATATACAGAACTTTTGAGGTAAGAGGTGTATTTGTTTAAATATATTTATTCAACAAAACATTTAACTACTAGTGAACAATATTTACAAAATAAATTTTGGGATTGGACAGAAAGCTATAAAGCTCTCCCTTTTATAACAGTTAACATACAGTTCATGTCATTACCATGTACAATGGTTACTTGAAATTATTATAATAATAATAATTATTTCAAGACGTTTTCATAATAATCAAGTATTTTAGAATGTAACATATGTAAGAGAAAACAGTAATAAAGAAAAAATAGAGCAAAATGAATGAACAATGAAGCAAACTGCAGAAGATGATAAAGCTTAGAATGCGCCAAAAGAAGCACACTAATATCTTATTTGATTGCTTTTAAGTTGTATATAAGCTAGATATACACTGAATATTTAAGGAAAAGATAAAAGAGAAAGGAAAGAAAAAAATGGATGAACAATGATGAAGCAATATCGAGGAACTAGTTAAGATGCATAATCTAATATCTGTTCAATATGTTAAATATGTTGACATTTCTGATTTTAAGATTGATAAATTAGAATCATAAGGTAAGAATGATATTGAAAGAAGGATTACACAATGGGGAATAGTCCTTACTATTTCAGGTCACAGATAAGTATATTTAGGACATTCTACGCATTTTCTCTCGCATTAAGAAGAGTCGATAATGTTATTTCCAAATAAATCGGCAGAAAGTGAACTGTAGTCTGAAAAAAAAGTCATTTGCGCCCACGCAAAGGACATTGGCAGGTACACTTGGCATATCAATATTTAGCAGTCGCTTAAATGATGTTAACGTTGTAGCAGTTTGTGTTGGAAGTGGTAGAGAGTTTAAATCGTTAATAACATAAGGTAAGAATGCTTTAAAGTAAAATTCTGTATTGGTACGAATATTTTGTGTGCCGTCCACGTTCCGGAGAGGGCAACGATGCTCACTGCTAACCGAAGGAGGGACACGATCAGAAAGATAATGTGGTGTAAGATTGTTTTTCATGTTAAAGAAAAGAATAAGGGTTCCCAGTCAGCTTAATTTTAGTTAATCAATAGATACGAGTTTTGTTGTTCCAGTTATCATTCTAGCTGCTTCATTTGTTCGAGCTCCTTTTTATCACTTTATGTACAGTACTCATCTTCATATTCTAGAATCGGTCTTATGAAAAATTGGTAAATGACCTTTAATGATTTCCTGTCGAGTTTGAATTTTGATTTTTATAACATTTATTCTACCCCAAGCTCAAGTTTTTTTGTGATGTGGACGCTTGGGTCATGAGCAAAAAGTATTACCCAATTTTTGGGAAATCATGTACGATTGTTTGTTGCCTTCCCCAAAAGAGAGAGGATGGATATGCTTATTTTGTTTTGTTATATCAATAGGATTCTGTTTTTTGGATTAAATTTACCAACCTTTTCAGAAAAGTAAGTTTTCTTTTCAGATATGTGATACGGAAGTTGAAACGTGGGGGATTTTCGACTAAAATGAATAGGTTAGTATCGTCGGTAAAGTCGATCGACATTGGCTTTTAAACTTTTACATTGTACCATTGATGTCGATAACAATATGTTAATAAAAACCAGAAAGCAAGGGAAAAAATTGCCCCTTGCGGCACATCAGGGGTAATAAATTTTGGAGAATACTCAACCTGGTAAAACAACCCCTTGTTTTTCTGTCCGATAAGAAAAAAACCAAGAGGAAAGACGCCCAGATATAACGACGCAATTTAATTGAGAAGACCCTTATGCCATTTTTTTGGTCTAACCATATTGAATTTTCAATTCAAATGAGATGGGTTTATGTATTTTGCATGAATTTATCGATTTGCGCGAGATTTTGAAAGCTATAACATCTTAAAACGTGTTTTGTTTTTCATTATAAATTGAACACTTGTTTATTCCCCGGCACTGTTTGTAATAAAAAAAAATAAAACAGACTTACGTAAGCGCCAGGATAAAGAACATAAAATCAACAAGAAATAAAAGTTCCACATATCTGAAGCGGTAGTTATTGTACATTGAACATAATCTACTTTGTTCTTATCAATTTCTTAATTTTGTCATTGTGTCCCATATATATATTTCCGTGACAACGACAGCGATAAAGTATTACATGAGTGAACAATTTACAACAATTCCACAAAAAAAGACAAAAGTCTGGATAAAGTGTGATCTCTGGGATGCATAAATATCAACAAAATTACATGAAAGTTAACTGGGTTTGATTGAGTCTGTACATGAGGGATATTGAAACCGCACTTTATACAAGTTAATATTGTCACAATATGTATGCTTTAAACAAGACATGCATAAAGGAATAACAAGTATTCTTAAAAACTGGGGTTTCTCTCACTTTCGTTGATGTATTCGGAAAAAAAGATATGTTAAGTTTTTATATGAATTTATATTTTTCACATACCTATAACAATTCATAGTCCTTTGTTCTTATGTTTTAATAGTTGCAGTAAACTCTCTTATCGTTAAAGCTAGTTAAGATGCATGGAAAACCACGCTGTTATTTCATATATGTATTTGAAGAGTATATATATATCAATGTTCAAACTTTAACGGCATGCTCGTAGGCACTTAATTCTAAGCCTGTCGGCGGCAACAAATTCTGTTCGTGCGATCAGTGCAGACCCAGATTAGCCGGGAGACCCGTGTCATCTGAACGTATCTGCACTGTTTACTTTTCTGTCAGTGCTTTGTTTTAGCTCGACTATTCGAAAAATAAGAAAATCTATCCTAGAACCCCGAGCGTCGGCGTCGGCGCAACCATTTATATTAAAGTTTGCTTACCATTAACATCTGGCTTTGAAACTTTTCACAATTGTTCACCATCCTGACCCCAACCTGTAGAAAAGAAGAGGTAACACCACTAGTATCAAGAATTTTGACAGAATTATACCCCTTTTTCAACTTAGAATTTATGTTAAAGTTTGTGTACTACAGCAAGTATTTTCGAATTCCATTGACCTCTGGCTTTAAATTGTGTACACTTGTTCAACCTGTACACAGAAGGAGGTAACTCTATCAAGCATTTGAACAATATTCTGCCTCTTTTTTTGGTCAATATGTCATCTGCCAATGAATATCACATCATGTATTCAATGGCTGACTGGTCAATAATAACTGGATATTGTGAATTTAATAAAATTCTTTTGTCAATATCCAAGACACTCATAACCATGTCATGTACATTATTTGTATATTTTTATAAATTATTTATTTCTGCTTATTAATTCTTACATTATCAAAGCTCTTGTTTAACTATCAAGCACGGAAAATAATCCAGCACGATGTCCTACTGACAGCTCTTGTTTGAGGTTATCGCTAATAGTTTAGCTAAGGGTTAATAGAATTAGAGATATTAACAAGGCAATGGCTTGAGTTGTTGGCGAACGAGTTGAACAGAGACTTTTGTTTTCCGTTATTGTTTTAAAAGACAAGTCACTTGTTATATATCACTCACACACTAACGCATGCGCAACGCACGCACGTGCGCGCGCGCACACACACACACACGCACGCACCAACGCACGCACACACACACACACACACACACGCACGCACACACACATGCTCGCATTCGAGCGCACTCTCTCACATACGCACACGTGCACACACACGCGCGCAGGCACGCATGCATTCACACTTGCTCACACACAATCTCTTGCTGATCCTAACAATCCGCCCTTTGACAAATTCTTGAAATACAAACGTATTTTATTAGAGATGAAAACATCCAATTTATAATGTAAGTGGTATTAGTAATAAGGAAGATGAAAAAATATGCAATAATAGTAAAGACATTGTGATCTGTTAAGAAAGTCCTATCACTTGCACTTTAAACAAAGTGTTCTTGGAAACTGGGCAAAGTTAACCCTTTTAGTTCAAGGGAGCTCTTCAGAAAGTATATATGACGACCATTTTTCGTCTTAATATGAATCAGTCCATATACTTCCCCCGTAAAAGTGTACTGCAAGTTATGTAAATATACGGTAAGATTAACCGGTTCTACAAACAGTTCAGTTTAAAAGCAAGATTTTATATGTCCGGTGATTATACTTTGAAAGAATTGAAAATAATCAAATAATTATCATTATGCAGAGATGTTTCTGCCATCAACAACAAAAACAACAAAGGCACGACATAATCACATGAGTTTTTTTTATTTCACTTGTTTGACAGCACATTCATCCAGTTGACGCCACATTTAGCCTACTATTCTTGGTACGCTGAAAGTAAAATTACATCATAGTTACTGTGGTAAATAAGACAGATTTATTTTAACAGTTTATTAGGCTCTAGTTCATTATCTTAACGTTTGTCCTGCTAGCAACAGTCAATTTTCCCCTGCTAAAATCAGTCTGCTCATGGTGTACATCGCACATATTTTGAAGATAGGCAAGTCCAATACAAGTAAAATGGTTTCCTGCGGGTAACATTTTTAAAGATATAAAGATCTTTCATTTAACTATTTTCAACATTGTTTGGGGGAGGGGGGGGGAATAAACGTTTGTTGACAATAATAAGGTCTTTGGAGACTTGTGACCGTTGAAGACCGGAGACCGGAGAAAGTCGAAAATAAAACAATTATTTCTTTTTAAGAAAATGATTAAATACCATTGTATGAATAATTCCATGTAAAAAAGGGAAAACACACACGTGTACGCAGAAAATATCACTATTTATTATGGCAGCTGCCACTAAGAATGTTTTAATTTTGTAGATTTTCACTGTTAACAATTTATTGTTTGTAAAATTTGAGATACACATGTAGATATTAAAGAAACATTGATAATTTTCAAATACATCATGCCAGTTTTTTCACCTTAAATGGTTAAATTAGAAATATCCCGTAATAGTTTTATGTTCTTAATTAGGTGTGATTGGGACTAATTCCCTAGAGGTAAATCCGTAACCTACCGGGCAAACGGTATTTAGCTAGGTTTTCGAAAAGGTCAATTATCCAATCATGTACGGTTTACAGATCACATGCTCCTCCATGTACCGAAAACAGGTCACGTGCTCCTCCATGCCTCAAAAATTAAACGCGTACCAATACCCTGCGGGCCGAAGCCCGCAGGGAATAAGATATTTAGCGTGATTACGTCACATCAGGTAAAGGAATTAACTCTTCCTCGACGTTTATGGCTTAAATGAAAGGATCTCTACTTGCATTTAAAGGAAATAGAACAAGTTAGTACTTAAATACATACATATAGAGAGATTGTTCGATTTTGTGTAAACAAAACGGATAATAAGTTAAACTGATGGGCAATGTTAAATAACATATTTCGTTGTTCATTAAAAATATCAATGACATAGCATTTATTATGTCGATTTTAATGATTTGACATATTTCTTTCTACAAGTAAATTTATTTTCAAAGCAGCATGCCTTCAGATTTATACTCATTTTCATGGAATTTTGGAAAAAAGTACAAAAAGAAGGATATTGTCAAGTGAACAAAGAAAGAAATTTACACATTTAGTCCATGCAAATTACCAAATATGTTATATTTGTAAAATATACAAATATAACATTTACTCCGTTAGTCCCACAATAGAAATATGGTAATACACTGTTCGTTAAATCAGTCATTCATTGCATATAACATGTAAACTATTTATATTTTTACTTTTCTTAAAATTTTAGTACATTTTTTCAACTTATTTTCCAGTTGCAGCTTTCACTCACCCATCAGGTTTTTCGCAAATGTAAGGCAAATTCGAAGCGCTACAATGTCAATCATTCCATTGTCCATAGAAGTTATTCCCGTTTAATTTAGCACAGTTTTGATAATGATCATAATTATTGGGCTTATCTGGATGCCAGTTTGAATGCCCAGTTTGTGAAATGGGAGTCTTCGTCTCCATCCATACCCAGACCCCTTCTTCTCGTGTATCACTGAGAGCTATCCGGTAGTTTTCTTAAAAATGTGGAAAAAAATAGAACTAAACAAAGCAAGGTTCGATAGCATAACGCTTGATAAGGATGTACGTTGACAGAACTAGTGCCAGTCCAATTCAACATGCGTATAGCTTCAAGCAGAAAGAGTTATGGACATCTAAAAGACTTGTCCTTGCGTTGTTCAAACTTCTCCAAATTCCGCCTGAGGCGTGCACATCGCGGAGAAGGCTCGCGGCAGTTCAAGGTCCAGCCGTCCTAAGGACCAGGGATGATTGGTTGACGTACCGTGACTAACTCGAAAGGGTGTGATCCTGCAAAGGGTCGTTGCTATGCAACACGGATACATACATTTAAATATTGTCGAACTTCATTATCACCAGCAAACGAAGAATATATATTAGGAGGAGCGGCATGAAAAAGACGTCCCCGATGCCGCTACAATCAACGGACCGGCAAGGACGAAGTAGGTCTCGGACATATGATTCATTCCGGTGATGAATGCATGTATAGATAAATAAAAAAAAAACTAACAGGTCAATTGGTAATTATTAATTAGTTATCCACGAAAACCAGTAACTATGGCGGCTGATTTGGTACACTTTTCGCGTAGCGTTGTCGATATCGACAACGCAACCTATATCGTTATCGCATTTTCGTCTTGTCGCTAGCAAAGCACGGCAAACGGCGCATTTTTGTGCGGCGCGTTATCAAGATATCGCCCTGTCGCTCGGCTTATATGTATACAAATAGCCAATCCTTCGATTTTAGCTGAGCGACAACGTTACATCCCGACAACACGCCGAACGATAATGCGCCATTTGTCGTGCATCGTTAGCGACAAGACAACATATTGCCATAGATGTAATAAGCATTGATCAGATTATGTTTTTGACTAAATATAGATTTGGCACTTCCAAGATACACACATTGAAAAACAACAAAGACACGACATATTCAAGGTGTTTCTTTTTATTCCACCTATTTGACAGTTCATGTATTCAACTGACGCCAGATTTAGCCTACTATTTCTTGAAAGCTGAAAGTAAAATATCATAGTAAGAGTGGTAAATAACACAGATTTAATTTAATCTTAATTCCGGTCCTGTAGCAACTGTATATTTCCCATGCGACCAGTGCAGACCAAGATCAGCCGGCACATGGTGTACATTGCACATGTTTTGAAAAAATCCATTAAAATGAACAATTTCATCTAGATTTAT